GTCTTGTTCCTTGGAAGTTTTTGAGACCAGCCTGGATTGAGTCCCGAGCCTCCTCCTCTGACCTGGTTGCCAACCCTGCTTTGGGTAGAGGATAGATTCGAAGAGCTGCTGAGGTACATTTCAATCTTAATTTTCCTGTAACCCTACTAAATTCCTGTTGCTGTTAGGAATCGCATGGAGATTATATCACAGTCCGTGGTAGATTGAAAAACAAAATCATTTCTGGTAAATATAAGTCTGTCAAACTGAATTTATCCAAAGGAATCTCCATGGTTAGAAAAAAGAGCATACGTTACACTGCGCAGGCAGTCTGTGAAGATGGGCTGTCAAAAACTGAAAGCTGAGGCTGCACATAGCTGATCTCAGATCCCTTTTCCAGATTTGAATTTTTCCTAAGCGTTGCTTTGTTTCAGAAGGCTAATCTGTGGGCTTAGAGATAGCACTGAACCACAACTGGGGCTGATACAAAAGGTAGGTAATTAATGTGGTCAGGAGAATGAGATTTCGCTTTTCTAGATGTGGGGAATGTTCCCATGGTGTTTTCCTTCCTGGTCTTCCTATACTTTTAATCTCTTTTCTTATCAAACAGATAAGTGGACAGAGACAGTATCAACACAGAAATATTAGGCAGTTTTTGAGAAAAGTTTCCAGCTGGCATTTTAGAAACCAAGTAGGGAGAGAGTAGGTTTGGCCTTGATGAGGAGTTCTGTACCCTTCCAAGATCAGTCAGTGGTCTGTTATCATTAAATAAGAGCACATTTGCTATTCTGTAGCTCACTGTTAGTTCTTGGGGAAAAAATATATTTTTGCATGAGGTAGTTGTAAAGTCACATTTCTTTACACCACAGCTATGACCAAAACAAATTGCAGTACCAGAGGTGAGAAACCTTGTTCTGTGCATTTTCCCCATCCATGTGCCAGCTTTTGTTTATGGTCCTGAGAGTGTTCAGTAAGCTAAATATAATGAAATTTTGTCATGGAATGCAAGGCGCAGAGCCCAGCGAACAGCCACATACAGACTACCAATCAAATGCCAGGTGCTGTTTTACTTTTTCACTTTAAATCTGCTGGTAACTGACCTTTACTGCTGCAATTCTGAGTCAGTACTTTTTGGAAGACGTGTCAGCTTGAGGCAACGTGCACTCAGGCACAGAGAAATGTGATTATTGGTTGTCTGGTTGCTTTCGTCCTCCTCTACTTCCTTGTTATGTCCACACCCAGGAATTTTTTGAAAAAATGACCGATTAAGGGATTTTATGATATTGCTGCACTTTTAAACATGGCCTGACTCTTATGATTTGTAGGCAGGAAGAGATGGGTTTACTGGCATAGCTTTTCTAGCTTTCATTTTCACTCTGGTGTTACCATCATGAAATTTTCCACTTTGCCTCATCATTGTTTGCCTAGACTGGGCGATGACGAATGAAACCTTACATTTTTCACCCTAAAACTGCTTTTTAATATACTTTAAATGTGCATAAAGTCAAAAGGGTCCGGACGGTAGATCTGTAAAGTGTCTCAACCTGAGCCTGTGATTCCAGTCTATGGCTTTTACATTTTTTCACCTAAATTAATTGCAGCAAATCAATCAGTTTGGAGTCTTATATTTTGATTAAAAAAAAATAGGCACTTTTTCCATGTCTCCATTACACAGTTGAAGGAGTGTGAGGAAGTAGAAATTTCTAGTCTATGCTATTTTGTAATTCTCTGTGGGATGTGGACTTCTCACCATTTCCATCTCCATTCTGTGGTGAAATGACGTTTTCAATGTATTTCACCCATGAGAGCTTTAAGGCCAATGACACTTTAGCATACCCAAGTGAGATTAGCAAGCAGTGAGAAGTAAAAGTAAGACCAACCGAAGAGATGGGACACCCATAACTTCTGAGGAGTTTTCATCATACAGCTCTTGGTTTCTTCACAGTCCGTGTGTCACAGGCTTTCTCTTCAATTTCTGGTATATTTGGTATGTAGTGTAGGAGTTTGGGAACAGGTTTAATTTATTTATTTATTTATTGACAGGAAACATTTCTGAATCAAAAGCCTGAAATTGCTAGCAAGCAACTTGTAGACACTTTCCCAGTGTGACCTGACACCCAGTCAGTGGCACAAATCCTCACCGTTGTTGTTTACATATTTACTTACCTCTGAACTGACAGAGTAAGGAAGCACTTTCTTGTGGCTCAGCGTCAGGTTGTTCCAGGCATGGAATACTGCACATAGGGAAACTACTTATCTTAGAAGATCTTTTTTAAGCATGTAACACATAGTGAGGTGTTGCCAGGGAATTGATGTCTTTTCTGTAGTCAAGTGACAGCAAGCAAGCTGGAAAGCGTGAATAGCTGATGAAGAAAAAGGAACTTCAGCCTGGAAAAGAAACAGAAATTGAGTTGTTGAAATGTTGAAATGAGTCAAATGATTTAAATCATTTATACCACAAAGGAACATAATGAGCATTTTACAGAAGAGCATGAGTCCATTTCCATAATGCAAATGGCCTTTCATGATCTGACTCCCTTTTAATTGATCAGCTTAATCTTATTGGTATCTCATCTGAAGTAATTAGACAGTTCTTTTGCTGTGAGTTTTGCTCCTAATACTGACTTGCACTTCTCTGGTGGTTCAAAAATAACTTGGTCACAGCCAGTCTTGCTAACAGGGTAATCTATATGGACTGGCTTCCACGGGGTCCACTGCTATTCTTTTTTAATGCTTCTGTGCTATTGGTACTTTAAGGACCAAATTTTCTGTTTAACCAGTGAGGTTAATCAAAAGGAGTAAAGCAGGAGACAGAGTACATCTCCTCAGGAGTAGGAAATGCATAAAGAATAAAGCCGTCAGTTTGTAAATGAAAACTGAATACCTCTTTCCTATCGTAGGTTTGCCAACCATATCCTGGGTAGCATCAGGAGAAGCATGATGAGTAGGTCGAGGAAGGTGATTCTGCCCCTTTACTCTGCTCTTGTGAGACCCCACCTGGAGCACCGTGTGCAGTTCTGAAGTGCCTAACACAAGGACAAGGAGCTGTTGGAGCAGGTCCAGAAGAGGGCTGCAAAGATGATCAGAGGGCTGGGGCATCTGCCCTACAGGGACAGGCTGAGAGAGCTGGGGCTCTTCAGCCTGGAGAAGAGAAGGCTCCAAAGAGATCTTATAGTGGCCTTCCAGTACCTGAAGGGGGACTAAAGAAAAGCCAGGGAGGTACTTTTATAAGGGAGGGTAGCAAAAGGCCAAGGGGAAATGGTTATAAACTAGAAGAGGTAGATTTAGACGAGGTATCAGGAAGAAGTTTTTTACTGTGAGGATGGTGAGATGCGTGAGGAACAGGTTGCCCAGCGAGACTGTGATACCGCCTCCCTGAAAGCACTCAAGGCCAGGCTGGATGGGGCTGCGAGCAACCTGAGCGAGAGGGGAAGTGTCCCTGCCTGTAGCAGGGTGTTGGAACTCGATGATTTTAAAGGTGCCATCCAACCCAAATCTTTCTATGATTCTATAGGTCAAATATTTAAAGTCTTAGATCTTCTGAGATGACAAATGTTCAGAGATGGCTGCTGTGTTACATTTCTAGTTTGTGATGTTGTATGGAATGTTTCTGAAAGGTCAGTGTAGGCATGTCTCATGTGGATTGATAGGCAAGAGAAATTAGAAGAAAATCTCTAGTGATTAAGGAAAAGTTGGAACAATGGAAAAGTGTGTCTTTGGGATACGTGAAGTTAATAAAATAAGCTCATTATCATCAGCTTTGCCTGAGTTTAGTAGACCTTTTAGGACTTACGTTTGTCTGATCTCTGAGGAGCAGCCATACAAATATAGTTTGTTATTTAAATGTTTTCAAGAATACAGCTTCTTAAGTTGATGCAGAATATTGCAGTCAAAAAATGTGACTTGATTTTTCATGAAATTGCAGAATAGGTCAAACATTCTGTTCTGAAAGGGCACCTCTGTCATCAAAGTTAATATAAGAAGAGCAAGTACTTCTTGCACTTCGTTACGGCAGAGGCACAAGTGGCAATAAAACAAAATCTGTGGAATTGGTTTTCTGATGAAGGAATATTGCAGACACCATGGAATGTTTGTGGAAGGAGGACACTGTGAGTTTGTTTTGCTAATCTCTGGCTCCACCTGAGAAAAGTGTGGTGAGATTTTTATTGCTGGTTTTGGTGAGTAAAAGAATAGGTCCTGCTTGAAAAACTGGTGAATAAGCAGTTCACTGAATGGCTGTATCTACTGCCAGTACATTAAACAGTGCTCATGAGGAAAGATGTTCCTCCTCTTCTGGTAATTCTAAATGTGACTTTTCTTACCAAACCCCTGTGTAGCCTTTCTTTGTTTTCAGCAGTTAACATGTTGGTAGAACACAAAAGGGCAAACCTCACAGGCAGCAATGACTGCAATATGGAGACTTGTAGAGGAAAGAATTCTACAAATGCTCTATTGATAAAAGTCCGTTAAGATTATACCAAAAATAAGGAACTAATATATTACCAAGTGTATATTCTTGTTAAAATACCTGTCTTAAGTTTAAGTGTTTATTTAAACACTTTACTGGTCAATCTCCTTAAGGTCTATGATTCTGTAAAATTGCTCTAAATTAATTATGAAAGCCACAGAGTTAGTCCTGCAGCTCCTAGCTGAGTGTACAGGAGAACAGCCACCTAGGGGCACAATACGAGCTCCTTCAGGGTGTATTTCTTCCATTTTAATATTGCCTGCAGACTTCTGTGAAAAAGTGCTTCCTGCATCTACGACTGAGAACTGTAGGAGTCAGAATTGCAGCATACTATGTGAGGGAAGGGATACTTGTAAGACCAAAGAATTAGTCACAGCTCTGTCACTGGTTATTAAATACGTAATGCAGCAGCAGCACCTCAGCTACGTGCCCTTCCTCCTCAGATAGTGTGGGAATTTTAGGGATTCCCCCTTTGACCACTCTCTATTTGTAGTCTCAATCTGCTGTTTTGCATGCATAGCTCTAGGGTATATAAAATGCTTTGGCTTCACAGGAGGGATACAGAGCAGGAGAGAGTGAAAGAAACCAACTTGCACAGAGAAGTCCCTCTCCAGGTTTGGAAACATCTCTCACAAAAACACGGTAAGGGCGCTGTGTCTCATTGGAATTGTCTCACTGTGTCTCAATGGAATCAGTCTCCTTTTACTTCCAGGCTATCCTGCTACTCTGAAAACTTCATCCCTCTTCCAGCAGACTTTAAAGGTTTGTGGGTGTAATGGGGAATACCATAAATGTTCTTTGAGCAACTCTGTTGTGAAAGCATAAAATGCAAGCAAGTTATTATACTAATTGCTAATGAATGGAAAATATGCGCATCCTTTTTAATGTCTTTTTTTTCTCTCTTGTTTTCTCTGGTTCATGCTTTTTCTTTCACCCTCTTTACTGTTCTCTTTATTTTTTCTGTTTTTTACTTATTTCTCTTTTTTCTTTTTTTTCTCATCTTTCTTTTTCTTTGTTGTTCTTCTTCCCTCTCCATTTTTGCAAGCTTTAAAATAACACACAGTAATATAATTTGTAATAACACACAGGCACACTGTAGCATTTTTTATTGCAATATAGTGATCTAGATGTGCTCCTATTTTGTAACAGTACACAAATGGTTATTGCACCCTGTGTGTTTTACTTGGGTTAACAGACTAGTTCTAGCACCTTTCAGTTTCTGCACAGACAATTACATTCTTTTATTTTCCTGCGTGGTTTGACAGCACACAGCATCCTGGCCTAAAATGTGACTTATGAAGCACACAAACTCTGACTAATTCTGCTTTACCAAGCAATTTTTTGCTTAGCTCCTTTTTTCCTGACATACCTTCACTGGCACAAAAATCTCCTTTTGGCAGAAAATCTATGTTATAGTAAATAAAAATAAGCTGCTTACAGTCTTATATAAATGCTAGATTTTACATTCAAACAGTGCTGTGTATCTATATCTCACAACATACAGAATTCAGCATCTTAGAATTCCATTTGGTTCAGACAACTGAATATATTGCAAAATGCTTTGATTTAATTTAAAAACTTTTTTTTTCTGATGATAATCACTATATGAATAACAGCAAAATTTTACATCCTTTTTTTCTTGCATAGATGCAGTGATATGAATTAGTACAACATTTAATGACACATTACAAACTTTTGAAAAACAAAGAGCATTTCAAGGTGTGTCTTTCAGAGAATTTAAGCATGGATGTGTTGGCTGTTTTATGCTATCATTTACCTAATAATAGAGTAAAACATGGCTGTGGCATTACTAAAAATAACGGTGCTCCTTGTCACTGTGTCATTACTATAAGTATCAAGTAATTTTTCCTTTTTAAATGCTGAAAGTTAATTAGATCAAATTCGCTAATCTGCAGAGTTTCTGCATCCTCTTAAAGGGAGTTACCTTCTTAGTCAAAAACTGACCTTGTGGTTTTATTCTCTCCTCAGAAGCGTTCCCACATCGCACAAAACAAGATTTCAGCGCTGTGAAGTAAAAGCATAAATAAAGTGTACAAAATGCTGTGCCCGTGGCAGTTTGTATTCAAACCTCGTGTTGTTAAGAATCAGTCCTCTGAAGAGAAGGATATCAATAATAACGTGGAGAAAGATACAAAGTTCCATGGGTAAGATCTTTGTCACAGTTCTGTGGTTTTGCTTTTGTTTGAAAAGGAAAGATACTGTTGTGTGCTTCCACTGCAGTAACTTTAACAACGGAGCGGTTATCCCTGGGGCATTGGGTGGTGTTGATTTAGTAAGGTGGTATTGGTTTACTGCGGTACATTTAAGCTTTTGTATACCTCATTGAGGAAATAAAGCATTGTAATTAACTGTCATGGTTCTAAATTTATCTGGTATGCCCTAATGGTTACATGTATGCTGGGACTGTGGAGGCGTTTGTGTGCTGTAAAAACTTAAAAGTAAAAACTAAGCATATTGCTTTCTATTGTATTGTCTTTTTGTCTTTTAAAGCTTTGTGAAAGATGATGCCAAATTACACAGTATAAGCAAGAAGCAGATAGAGATGTCACCTATAAGCACTTCAGCAGAGGTCAGTGATGGAGCGGGGTCTGTTTCTAGTTTCACTGATACTGACAGTTCACACAGATTGTGCTTGCTGCTCAGGACTTTCAGAGTTTCAGAGTTCTCATGCAAGGAGTAACTGTGGTGACATGAGGTTAGGGATGATGTGAGATCTTTGGATGAAAACTCTTTTCTGAATGAAAAGGTGCTTTGCTAAGTCAGTAGGACTGGACTGCCAAATTCCTTTATTCCTTTGAAACCCAAGCTTTGTCCTTTCTCTAATTTTGTCTGATTTGCTTTTTTTTTTTTTTTTTTTTTCTCCAAAACTATGACTTTAAAATTACAAAGCTGTTTGTAGTGGCAAATACTGTTTGGTTAGTACAAAAACACTTTTGGCTGTTTCATATCAAGCTGTAGATCAGGTCAATAGTTTAATACTCAAATGAATAAATAGTCCTGTTGGAGAAGATCACGTCAGTCTTTGCCTTTAAGTTGTAGTGTTCAATAGTAACATATAAATAAAATTGAAGCGTTATGATATTTAATAGGTGTGAAGATAGTGTGTATTTTTATCTTTTCTATGGCCAGAAACCCCCACAAAATGGTATCAAAGCTTCAAACCAAATATCAACATGTCCTAGACATGTAAAAGTAAGGAACTTGGAAAACGGATCCAGCCTTCTTGACACATTACACCTGACAGCAAAGGAGGTAAGACAGAAACCTAAGCAGTAATTTTTCTGAACTTTCTGAAGATCTGTAGTGTGACGTTGCTTTGTAAAATGTTATTATTTTTCAGGTTATCAATTGTCGGACCAAAGCTTGCCAAGGAGCACTCATGACCCCAAAGAGCCTGGTGAGAGGCACTAGAGATGGTCCAGTTCCTCCAGCAGAGCTTCTACCTCAGGCAATAGACTTTGTCAAGCAGTACTACAGTTCATTTAAAGAGTAAGCTAACTGTATCTTCATTTGCGGAATAAAAATCCTCTGCCTTCCTACCTGTGTGTGGGACTAGGCTGCTTAATTTCTTCAGAGGTATTGGCAGTTATGTAGCATGCTTCCAAAAAAGAGGTGATTATTAAAAATGTGAACAGAATCATTACTGCATTTCATATTCTGCTTCTGCAATCCTAGGTCTAGAGATTACTACCGTGGACTCTTTCAGTGCATTTCTCAGCCCCATCCCTTCAGAGTGTGTTGCATTATAGTATACTAGAATAAGCAGGTTCTTCAGGGCTCTTCCAGAACGTGACTTTCTGTTTTCTTAACATTGGATGTTAATGGGATTGTCCCCTACTCAGATTAGTCTTAGACATGTGGGTAATGCTTGCAGTTTGTGCTGTTCCAAGCATCTTTTCTCTGTGTTCTTTTATTGTATGTTTTCAAGGCTTTGGCCAAAGTATGGAAGGACGGTTGATGCCACAGAGCTTCTCAACCTTGCTCTGTGTTATCATCAACATAAGATTACTGAGCATGCTGAGAGCAATGCTTTAGCTTCAGGATTGTGTGTTTTTACAAAAATAGAGATGGTGCAGAGAGATCTTGTGGCAGGAAAAGCTGGAAGAGCTGCCTGAGGTCCAAGAATTTGCAGTGACAAAATTTTCAAGTGACAAGCTTTCAGTGACAATTCACCATTTGCATATTTCACTGTAAAATATTATTGGGATTTCAAAGGGACTCAGCCACATAATGCCTTCTTCTTTAGAGACTTTGAACTCTTCTACAAAGCTTTATTCCAACAGAATCTCTCAGAAAATTCCTGTTTTACATACAGACTATGGTTACTTGCCAGAGTATTACATTTGCATGTCTCTGTGCCTGTGGTATTTGATCACATTGATTTGCACCGTCTTATGTGCTTGCCCTTGATCTTTCATCTTGCTGAAAATGTGAAAACTCTCAGACAGTGCAGGCTATTTTATTCTGTCTGTAGACCAACAAAACAATTTTTGTCTGTGCTGTGATAAATATTTGCTAATGTTTTGACTTCATTTTCTATTATCAAACTAAAAAAAAAAAAAATAGAGTTGATTTCCTTAACAAAATAATTGCTCAGCACTTCCTTTTTTTTTGTGTCAGAGCTTTACTTTGCTCAGAAGACTTCTGGCCCTGTGAAAGTAATTGAACTTTGAGGGAACAGTCAGTTATTCCCATGTCGGGCTGAAGCTGGTTTATTTTCTAAGTTCTGTTTGATTGCGTTTGACATTTTTACCAAACTAGTCTGGAAAATCCAAATTTAAACTGAAAATTTGCACAGAAAAACTTGTCATCAATGGATATTTGCATTGGATGGTGAAAGGGCAGTGTTACTAGTTCAGTTTCTATTATGGTAGTTCGTTCATGAGGCTAGTATGCTGTCATTTGTACTCAGTAAGGCCAATTCCTAAATTCAGAAGCCACAAAAAAGTCACTTGATCAGACCTCAGTTAGAATCCTGTGTATTTAACTCATCCCTTTACCAGGAACATCCACTGCTTTGGATAAAAAATTTCAGATCCTCTGCTATTGCAATAGATAATAGTTGTAGTTTGGGGACAGAAGTGTAGTGCAATAGAGAGGTTTTGGGAGCAGATGATGGTGACTTCTCATGCCTGGAACATGGTGGGATTGCTCATCTTTTGAGGTAATGAATGCTTTCATAAATGAGAAAATATGTTGACCCATTTCACACCCAGATAGTGAGGATACCTGAGAAGGACGGATTTCTCAGTGTATATCAAACTTGCACTATCTGAAGCAGTATAGATACCAACCCCCTCCTTGGAAATGGGCTCTACCTGCATACTAGTACATAAAATCACCAATGCAGATGAAGGTCTCTTGCAAAAAGATGCTTTGCCACTGCAAAAAACATCCGAAACATCCAAAACTTGATGTTTTTTGCAGTGTCTGAGCTCTTCTTGACCCAGAACAAAAGAGGCATCTGCAATTTAGATCAGTTGTAAGTAATGAAATTTTCATTGTTTCTTTTCATGGCTGTTTTCCTGTTTAACAGGTTAAAAATAGAAGAGCACCTGGCCCGACTAGAAACAGTGACCAAAGAGATAGAAACAACAGGAACCTACCATCTGACAAAGGATGAACTGATCTTTGCTGCCAAACAGGCCTGGAGGAATGCCCCAAGGTGTATTGGGAGGATTCAGTGGTCCAATCTACAGGTAGCTTATGACTCTAACAATTATGGCTGAATAGCTGTCTGCTGCACATCGGTAAAATGTGCCAATTGCTTCAATTGAGGATTGTCTTTCCTGTCCATATCATAAAATCAATATTTTCTTGTACTTCTCTGCTCCGTAGTAGAAGGAAAACTTATATAGGATTGGTTACAGTTAAGAACCAATCAAGTTATGGAAGGAGGTCCATCTCTTGGGCTTGGAGAGTTGTTACATGTGAAAATAAAAGAAAGGTAAAAATAAACCTTTCCTAGAAGTGAATTGAGAAATACTGATTTCCTATCCTTAGCTGTGTTAGAAAAATAACATGCTTGTATTATTCTTTCAAATTAATTTTTTCTTTACCTTTCTGGGGGAAACATACAGGTATTTGATGCACGTGATTGTAAAACAGCCAAGGAAATGTTTGAATGTATCTGTCGCCATATTCAGTTTGCCACAAACAATGGGAATATAAGGTAGATCTCTTTTATTTCATTTGAATTTTAAATAACAAAAATTCCATCTAGGTCTGGTTTCAGAACTCCGCAATAGACCTGATGTGATCTATCTAAATATTTTGACAACTTGTCTGTGCTCTTAATTCTTCTGATACTTACGTGTTCCTCTCACATGTACCATCAACCATTTTGAAAGTTTTTAACATTTGTGGCTAATGTTGCAAAAATCCTTCACAATTCCTGGGGAAATAAATGATTTGAAGATTCGGGGAGATGAGTGGAAAGAATGAATGATTTTATTCTTAATGATGTTTATTTTAGAAATATAAAATAATTGCTGCCAGTAACAATTTGTATCTTAATAATCAGAATGTGTTTGATGTGCTGCTGTGATGTAATTGGGTTGGATCATTTCTCTGAGCAGATCAGCCATCACTATCTTCCCTCAGAGGACTGATGGGAAACATGATTTCCGTGTTTGGAACAGCCAGTTCATCCGATACGCTGGATATCAGATGCCAGATGGGTCTGTCATAGGAGACCCTGCAAGTGTGGAGTTCACAAAGGTATAGTTCCAAATACAGAATCGTAACTGTTTTCCATCTTGATTAACTCACCCGTGTTTCATTTATTTTTCTTGTTTTGTTTTTTTTTTATGCAGTCTGGGAGGGAGCTATGTATTTCCTGCCCCACAGATTCTAGGTGCAGGCTGAAGCAGCAGTTTGTTACTGTGCAGTGAAATACTCCCCTCCATCTCAGAACAGAGCTAAAACTCCTCTTAAATCTTGGTCTTGTTTGAGTGGGAAGACAACCTTTAGCACTGAGAATTTACCTCAGAGGGTTAACAGGAGGGAGGACTTCAAAAAAGAAATTCACTTTCTTTACTTACAGTTGTGCATTGAGCTTGGGTGGAAGCCGAAGTATGGCCGCTTTGATATAGTTCCACTCGTTCTCCAAGCAAACGGCCAAGATCCAGAAATATTTGAATACCCGCCAGAGATTATCCTTGAAGTGCCAATGGAGCATCCAAAGTAAGCACACCAGGTGTAGCTAATCGCATTTTTGCCTCTGCCTCACCCTGGCAGGTGCTTATCCTGTGCTTGTGGCAGTCATTTTCTGAGTTCTTTGTTAGGATGAAATTACAGTAAATTGTCCTGAAAGACAAAATGCCTGTTAGAACAGTAAAATGAGATTTAAATTAACAAAGTCTGTGGTAGTTCTGTTGGATTTTTTTTTAATATTCTGCATTTCAATCAGATTCAGAATTAAAAAACAAACAAAAAACAAAAGACACACAAAAACAACACAGCTTCTAATGCCAGTGGAATACATGTAAAATATGGTTGCACTTGCAACAAAATGCTTATTGCCTTTTTTTTTTTTTTCTTTATTTCTTGCTTCATCTTTGCTTTGGAAGCAGGCTGCAGATCGCAGAACTCTGTCATACTGTTCCTCAGTTTCCTTAGCAGGCCATTCCCAGTTACCACTTTGTATGTGAAAACTTTGCTACAAGCTTTCGCAGATTGCTTCATGGGTTGGTCTCCCTAGAGACAATGATCTTTCACTTCCTGGGCTTTTCTGGTTGTTGCCTAAGGGAGGAATACATAAAGTAACAGATTAAGTGTTTATTTAACAGATATGAATGGTTTAAGGAGTTGGATCTGAAGTGGTATGCTCTGCCTGCGGTTGCCAACATGCTCCTTGAGGTGGGAGGCCTGGAATTCACTGCATGTCCTTTCAACGGCTGGTACATGGGAACAGAGATTGGAGTGCGAGACTTCTGTGATGTACAGCGGTACAACATCCTGAAGGTAATCTCCTGAAGTGGGGGAGAGAATGGACTTGTTATTAGTTCCAGTCTGCTGCTGACAAGGCAATGGAGTCCTGGATGTTAGTTGCATGTCTTGGGCTCCTTCCCTCTGCAAATTAATAATAATGACTTAGAACCAGATGCTGTCGTTCCCTAATCGTTTGGTCCAGCAGAGCCCCTCTTCCTTCTCCAAGCCAGAACAGAGGTCACATGATACCTCTGATACCAAGTCTGTGCGATTCTTACTTTCTCCAGCATAAGGTTGACCTTTCTCGAATATTTTTATCTGCATGTTAATGTGATGAGGTGGAGAAATCATGACGTGTATATAGAGCATAGTAAATTTGCTTTTCCCTTTTCTCTCTCTTTTCCAATTATAGGAGGTTGGAAGAAGAATGGGACTGGAAACCAACAAACTTGCATCACTGTGGAAGGACCGAGCTGTTGTAGAGATAAATGTGGCTGTGCTTCATAGCTTCCAGGTAAGTCAGTGAGTCTAGTATCTGGAAACACTTTGAATACTCTGTTTTTTCATTTCACTTACAACAAAAGCTTTATACAAAGATAGTTGCCAGTGCCAACACTCAATGTACAGGAGGTTACCAATATAATTCCAATGTACTTATTATCTGTCTATGTCTGGGAAAGCAGGGGAATGTAAATGCCCTGTTGTTGCCAGAAAAAAACTCGGATAGAGGGGAAAGGGAGAAAAAAACAAAAAGAAAGCTAAAGGCAAGATTGTTCATCTTATTAGCCCAGATGTCTAAGTGCCAATATCTACATAAAGCCATGGAATTCATGTATTTCATTCACAATTACAGTCTTTTTAAGGTATCATGACATTATGAAAGATGGGTAAAAATGAAACATAGGCTTTTCAGCATGCATTCTCAATGCTGGAAAGGTAAAATGCTGATGTTAAAAATAAATAAAAAAGGACTTAATAAAATTCTTAGTCAAAGGTCCACCCGTATCTTCATTTTATAGTTGTTAGTAATAAATATTTCCCAACACTGTATAAATTCCTTGGAATATTAAGCAAGCAAAAGGATTACTTTAACTATGGAATGGACTTTTTAAATATATATTTCTCTTTTTGCAATTATTCTAGCAACAAAATGTTACTATCATGGATCATCACTCAGCTGCTGAGTCCTTCATGAAATACATGCAGAATGAGTACCGTGTGCGAGGAGGCTGCCCAGCTGACTGGGTGTGGATTGTGCCTCCTATGTCAGGGAGCATAACTCCTGTGTTCCACCAGGAGATGTTGAACTACGTCCTCACTCCCTTCTTTTACTACCAGGTACACGTCAAAAAAAAATAAAGATTCTAGCAGACAACTTCAGCAGTGCAGATGATAATGTGAGATACAGAAGAGTCTGAATGAAAAGCTCCTATTAGTCACACTGCTTAGTCTTGGTGCATACAAATCAAAGTTTGCTGGATAAATTCATAAAGGAGCAAGCAATTTCTCTTTTACTGCGCGAGATAATTTTAGTTCTGTTGAATTCCTAGGCTATAAATATAATTCAATTTAGTGCTGTAGAGATGGTCAGTGTTTGTACAGGCAGCAAATCATAGATGTAGATACTGTCAAATCTGTCCCTTTCACCTGTGCACAAATTGTGTATTTGTTGTTTCGCATTTCTTATCTGAAACGCAGTTTTTTTTTTAATTGAAGGTGGATGCATGGAAAACACACATCTGGCATGATGAGACCCGTCGGCCAAAGAGAAGAGAAATAAAGTTGAGCATTTTGGCCAAGTAAGTTGCTCAAATAAACATCATGATTTTGTTGAAATATTCTATTTTTCTGGTGCTTCCCTTACACATTTTTTGATAATTATTACGGTAGGGATGACCTGGTTTGTTTGAATTATAGACTTGCATGTATACGCTTAGGTAATGCTCATATCTAATGTTCATATTCGGGGCTTTCTGTATTGCATTGCTTCTTAGCAATCTTCCAAGGAATACCCATGCTCAAAAGGAGCCTTATCTAGGAAACTGCTTGTGCACCAGCCTGAGTTTCTACACAGCTGTGTTCAAAGCGATACATGATGTGCTTTCTTTCCTCAGGGCTGTACTCTTTGCGTCACTGCTCCTGCGAAAAACAATGGCAGCCAGGTCCAAGGTGACTGTGATCTATGCAACAGAGACTGGGAAATCAGAAACATTAGCCAGCAATCTATGCAGTTTGTTCAGCTGTGCCTTCAACACTAAGGTGAGGAAATACAGGTCACTTAAACTAAACGGAAGATGAGGTTTGCCTAGTTATGTCAGCTTCTGCGAGATTTTTCATTCTCTAAGCCTGCGTTTTGTATGTCTGCTAAATGTAAGTTAGACCTTAGATTCTGACTTCTTTCATATAGAATAATGCCTTGTAAATTTGGTCAACAGTCATCTGTCAACAGAGAGATCTAACACAAGTTCTTATGTCACCTAGCAGTTTCTCATGAGCTTTTATCTTCCAGATTCTGTGCATGGATGAGTACAACATCAGTGACTTGGAAAAAGAAACTCTTCTTTTAGTGGTTACCAGCACTTTTGGAAATGGAGATTCTCCAAATAATGGAAAGGTACTGTTTGCCTCAGAAGCACATGGCAACACAGCTCAGAGAATGCTGAGATGAGCACCTCAGAGTTCTTTCTGAACCAGTCATGGACCTGAGGGAACAGCATGAAGCTGCTTCAGGGGAAATTAAGACTGAGAAATAGGAGAGGGTTTTTTACCATGAGTATAATTGGGCACTGGGGCAGGCTACTTAGGGAAGTGGCCATGGCACCAAGAAGCTGCAGTTCAAGATGTGTTTAGGCAACACTCTCAGATGTATGGTTTAATTTTTAAGTAAACTTTTGTGGAGCCAGGAATTGGATTTGATTATTCTTTTGGGTCCCTTTCATCTCAGGGTATTCTGTGTTTCAAAGTCAGTCTTTCATTTCTATGTATGAAAGTAAGGTGTAGATCAGAGTCTCACTTCTCTTTTAAATGAAAGAGTATTTTTCTAACATTAAATGTTTTATGAATTTTTATGCAGGCATTAAAGAACTCCTTGCTCACCATGAAATTGCTGAGAAAAAAAATTAGGTAAAAATAATTTGTTATTTTGTTTACTTAAGATTAATTCTTTTGTTTTTCATTCACCATAACATAGTGGTCTTATTTGCATCTCCTTCTGCAGATACGCTGTGTTTGGCTTGGGGTCCACCATGTATCCTGAGTTCTGTGCCTTTGCTCATGCCATTGACCACAAACTGTCCCAACTGGGGGCTTTGCAGCTCACTCCAGTGGGTGAAGGAGATGAACTCAATGGTCAAGAAGAAGCCTTTCGCACATGGGCAGTCACTGCGTTCAAGGTGACTACCTAAATATCTAGCTTATGTATTAGTTAATTCATTCATTTCAATTATTTTGGTCTTTACTGGCATCCCAGAAAAATAGGGAATAATGAAGGAAAGCAGAGATGGCTTGCTATCTGAATTTTAAACTTCCCTTTCATCTGCTGGTTATCTAAATTGAAGGGGAAATGAGATCCCTTTTCTGTAATTTGTTAGTACTCACATAGTCCCCCAAAAACTTTTGGATAATGAGATGCCCAGTAAAGTAAGGGCAGTAGCATCAGACCTCTAAATTTTGCTAAGTAGATCTTTTTTTTTTTTTTTAGCAAGATTGATGTAGAAGTGGAAACTTGCTGAAATCCTATAGCATTACTGAATTCAACAAATTCAGTAAATAACAACAGTCAGTGAAACTGAAATCTCCCCATAAACATAGCACCAGCAAATGAACAACAAACATATGACAACATTAAGAATATTTATTTTCCATGAATAGTCATAATTACTACTTTTTTCTAGACTGCCTGTGACATTTTTGATATCCGTGGGAAAACCAGTATTCAGTTACCTGAAATATACACATCAGATGACAGCTGGAATCCTAAGAAATATAGGATAGTACATGACTCTCAAACCATGGACTTGACTAAAGGTATTTGTTCTGACTTTCTGCTTCCTCTATCAATTTTACTTCATTTACTTTATGTCAGAATTGGAAAGGTTGTCTGATGTTGGTAAAGTCATACTATAGCTGGATGGTAGAATTCCTGTAATGAAACAGTGGTCAAAGAAAAAAAGATATCATTTTACAGTGAATAAGTCATTACATCATCCAGCACAAAAACATCAGAATACCAGATCTGGTATACATTTTGACAATCCCAGAAGAATTAGAGTTGAGATACTTTTAGTCAGAGAAGCTGTGCATAGAGGACATGTGGCTAATGAGAAGTATATGGTGTTTTAGAGCAGGTGGTTCAGTTCTTTTCTCTGAGTTCTTGCAAGATTTATTTAACAAACCTAGTGACACAATTTTTCATTAGTCATGTCCTCTTTTCTCAACAGCACTGGCAGACATTCATGGAAAGGATATAATTCCCATGAAGCTGAAATTCAGACAGAATCTTCAGAGTTTCAAATCCAGGTATGAGTCCTCATTTCTTTGAATATTGTACATTTTATTAAAATCTTAAACAAGTAAAATGTTTTGTTATAAACATCTCTTCCCTGTGTTACTGAGAAATATACTCAAATTTTGTACCGTCCTTAGTAGAAATAAATAATGATCACCAGACCACGACAATAGTAAGGGACTTCGCTTCTGTGTAGATAGTAGCTGATTTCCCAGTGAAGTCTCTGGCAGCAGAGGGGACTAAATAACCTGATGAATATGGCCCTCTGATATCTACTAAATGTGGAAGGACAGTGTAAGGTCCCTCTCCTTTGCTTGATCTGCTACGTGCCTGACAAATATTTACTTCATTTAGGAAAAACCAAATTGCCCCTTAATAGAGGGAAAAAAACAGTTGAGAGTGGAAAGAGATACAGTACAAGAAGCTGTACTAAAAGCAAGCTGAGATAAGACAACATAAAAATACAAAAGGACAATAAGTGCACTGGCATCTGTCTTAGAAATAGCATCCATGAATGCCTCTTCAGCATCCTCCAGGAAGTCTCTCTCATCCCTGTTCTAAATGCAGTCATCTTACAGGATGTGCTCTGAGCTGCTGTAATGTGTGAGCTATTCAGTCTTCAGTAGAGCTGCACTTCCTGCCATTGGCTGACTGCAGGCATACTGGACAGATCAGGCAGCACTTCAGCATCTTATTTGTTTTCGTAGAAGTCCTTCACATGTCTATACTGTTTTTGCTTAAGTATCCATGAATTACTAAGCTGATCTGATGATTTGATAATGAACAGTAAGCCCTTGCCAAATGTCACTTCACATTTATGTCTTTTCTATGTAACTTAAGGGAATTCCTGTCAATGTAATCATGATCTAAATGATCTCTTTTTTTCTATATCTAGTCGTGTTACCATTCTAGTTAAGCTTTCCTGTGAGTCTAATCAGGAAGTGCACTACCTGCCTGGAGAACATATTGGGATTTTCCCAGGCAACCAGCCAGAATTAGTCCACAGCCTCATTGCACGTGTTAAGGATGCCCCTCCAGCTGATCAGACTATCAGACTTGAAACCTGTACTGAAGGTAAGTTGGTTCCCTTCACATTTGATAACAGAGGATATTTGATGGGTTTTCCTAAAATTCATGAGAATTTTTATAGGCTGAATTTGATTATATTATCCTCCTTTTAAGTTTCACTAGGATTTTGCTGATGCTTTTAGGTATTCCTCTAATTCTAGATTCTGTTTTTATGTCCTAAGGCAGTTCATGGTAACTTCACCAGCATTGTCCGATATTTTGGGCTGACACTATTTGTGATTCAGTTCCTAAATTGGTTATTGACTGCAGTGAAATTAGTCTACAGTTTCCTTATCATTGGTACATATCAATGTGTGTATCCTTAACATGGATTTACATGTCATGACCTTTTTTTTCCACATCTTAGTAGCTGCAGTCTGTGAAATCATGGGACTCTTAACACACAGAAAGATGATTTCCATCATACTTTTTGCTTAAAACATAGTGCTTTATTACAGAGTGGTTCTCTGCATCAGATTCTCTACTCGCAAAAAGCTTGAAAGCTCACATTAACCTGTGGTCCAGATCTGTATGCAACCTAATCAGAAGTCATATTTTAAAAGACACTGAGTTTTGCATAGCACTACAGTTGTTAAATGCCTTGGGAATTGCCACATGATCTTCTACTTCCCTTGTTTCCAGGTGGCTATTGGGCTAGCCAGAAAAAGATTCCAGCTTGCACTCTCTCCCAGGCTTTGACATATTTACTTGATATCACTACTTCACCCTCCCAACAACTTCTAAAAAAACTCTCCCAGCTGGTAAGAACGGAAGGAGACAAACAGAGACTGGAAGTTTTATGTCATGTAAGTATTAGGCTGAAGTTACACTAAACGTGCTCCATAATGGATCTTTTGGTGCCTTTCAAAAGCAGAAGCTTTAGAAATGCTTGTAGTGATGGTGTTTGATTTCCATTCCTCTGTTACATATGCTGTGAGTGTGTTAAACCAACCATGGTGAGAGAAAGAAGGAGTGATCTTATGGCTTAACCTGTGTGGGAATCAAGAGTTTTCTTCAGGTCTGGTATTTCCTGTATGGTTGTGGGTGGGTCATTTTGCCTGCCTGATTCTCTTGCCTGCCCTGGTGGTTTCTGATGAGACACCGTTAAAAAATCTCAGAGTTTGCAGAGGGAGAGATTGCAGAGGAGCTGCTAGGTATTTTTATTTTTTCACAGAATTTGATACCAATAAAGTAGAAGCAATGTCACTTCAAGTAACCAAAGACTCATAGGTGTGGTAACTGCTTTGTTCTGCTGGGATCAGCAAGCACTCAGTAGGGGCTCAACTGGACCTGAGCCTACACAGTTTTCTAGATATACCATAGCCAGGGGGCTGAAAAGCAGCTTCTACTTTAGTTTCTATATCCTCTCTGAGAAAAGGTATATGTGAGAAAAATTACAGTGGATATTTCTGTTTCCAAAAATCAAACAATGTTTTCAGGAAACCCAAGTATTAGTCTAGGGATGGTTTTGAGAATTCTCTGCTGATTTGCAGTTTATTTCATATTTAATTGAATATAAAATAGGAATCTTATTTTAAAAGTTACTTTTCAAACATCCTTGCTCTCCTGAACTCAGCATGGGGCCTGGTAACATTGTGATAGTGGCTTTTGGCTTTTAGAGCACAGAAGAATACAATAAATGGAAGTTTTACAACAGCCCGAACATCCTGGAGGTCCTGGAAGAGTTTCCTTCTGCTGAAGTCTCAACAGCTTTCTTACTGACTCAGCTGCCACTTCTGAAACCCAGATACTACTCTGTCAGTTCCTCCTGTGACATGATACCCAGAGAGATTCATCTGACAGTTGCTGTGGTAAACTACAGGACAAGAGGTAATGAATTGTGTTTTTTAAATTTCTGTCTCAATTAAATGATATTTAGTCTGTGTTGTGGTTCAGAAAAATCTGTGTATGCTAAATGACATGAAACATATCGGTAACAGAAAGTTTGTGTTGTGATACGTGCAGAACAGTACACAGCAGTACAGATACTCATGCTGTATCAGGATTTGTTAAAATAGTGCATCACTGGTATGTCCTTGTTTTATAAATGATTACTAGATCATTTATATTCTTGTTTATAAGCATAATGTTAAATAGAAACTGTTTTTTAAAAAAAACAAACAGCTTTTGAATGCTTACAAATAATTTTCCTTTCCTCTGATTAGATGGACAAGGGCCATTGCACCATGGAGTCTGCAGCACGTGGCTGAACAAAATAGCTCTCAATGAAACAGTCCCTTGCTTTGTGCGCAGGTGAGTGTATGCCATAGGAAGAAGCCAAGGAACATCATGGAATAAGAATGGTTAGGCAAATACTTGCTGTATAATTCTGTGAAGCTTCTTTCCCTAGACGCCTCCTGAAGTTAATTCCCATGAAATTTTCAGGAAACTAATGGAAATTTTATTGGATTCTAATGAAGGAAATTGTTCGGTGCTTTTAGAAGTCCATTCAGACAGGTTTTCTTAGTTACTCCCAAGTGTTACCATATGTCCTGTGGTGCAGATGGGTTGGGGAGAAGGAAGGGGCAAAGGGTAGAAGTGATCGTGTACTGTTTTCTAACATGTATTTCAGCCATACCTTGTGACCTCAGGTGAGGGCTGAAGCCAATTGTTTCTACAAAATCACTGATGGTTACTCTCCTAAATCACTGGGCACTTATCAATGTTTATTTTGTAAAAAAAACTAGAGAATCTGATTCTTCAGTCCTTCAAGATACATTTATCCTCTCATACAAAGCATAGTAAGAGAAGATTCAAAGCAGCAGAGATGATCACTAAGTATCATTCTGTCAGCTTTCTAGGAATACTTTTATTCTGAGGTTTACTTTACCTAATTAACATATTTTTGCATGTTAGTGCTGATGGATTCCAGCTCCCAAAGGAGCCAGCCAAGCCGTGCATTCTTATTGGCCCAGGAACAGGAATTGCTCCATTCAGAAGTTTCTGGCAGCAGCGTCTCTATGACTTGGAAAAGAAAGGTACTTACAGGGACTGCCACTTGGGGGAGGCCAAAACTCATCCAGCCAGAAGACATCCATAGTCCTCCAAAGAAAATCTGTTCAGGTGGAGGTTTTGTTTGGAGAACTACAGAACTGGTGGGGACACTTCTAAACTTTAGCTAAGTAACTACCAATGTAGAGATTTGTCATCACAAGGTTGAATCAAGCATTAAACGTTAGCCAATAATTCCATCCCACATAAGACCATTCTGGTGGTCTTGAGGTATTTGGTCACCCACAGGGAGTAGCCTACGTGTTCTGCATCTGCTCAGCTCTCACAAAGGGGCCACAATGCAGAGAGGAAACGCTGTGGCCTGTCTCTATCATCCTGCTTGGGAAATGTGCTTCAATAGGTGATTCCACATAGTACTTTGAAGTATCAGGCAGATTCAGTCCTAATGCAGACTTAAAATCAGGAGCTGTCACTCATGCACACATACTCCTCAGAGTTTTAGCAAGAAAGACTAATTAGAAACAGTGGTTACATTGCCCAACTAAGTTAATGTGGCAGGGTTTTCTCTGGGGACGGTGGTATGAGATAATAGGCGTTACTAGGCAATCCAAAATAACTCTGATATTGGTTTCAGGGATCAAAGCTGGTGACATGATATTGCTGTTTGGCTGCCGGCAGCCAGATATGGATCATATCTACAAAGAAGAAGTTGAAGAAATGAAGAGGAAAGGAGTTCTGAAAGAAGTTTTTACAGCTTACTCCAGGCAACCTGGTCAACCTAAAGTAAGGCTGGTTCTTTTGTTCTTTAAGAGCTGGCCCCTTTAGGAAGAGTCCCTCAAGTTAATGTTTGGGCTCTCTTTAACAATTTTATTGAAAAACAGAACAAAGCAAAACAAAACTGTTAGTGTCAGTGCATTGTGAACAAGTGACAAAAGGCCCCATTCCTCTAAAGCAAAGGAGCCTCTCACTGTTCACTTCTGAATGAGTAGCATATATGTACATATGTATTTTAAATCCTCATTGCCTTATTGATAGGTGTAGTAGACATACAATTAAACCTTTGAGTGCAAAATGTCCTTTGAAATTAGAAACTGGAGCACTTTTGGAAACCTTACGTTTTGCAGGATAAGATTAGCCTGTGAGTTGGAAATGAGTTGGCTCCATCATTTGTCACCATTTCAGTACCCTTTTTAGCTGTCTTGCCTCTCTAGCAAGTCAGGAATCTTTGGCAGTGGTAATTGGCTCTAAATAAAAGTCTCTTAACGTACTCTGATTTAATCAAGGACAAGTCCAGCCTTCCAATCCGGGGATTGTGGAGAGAGCATTTAAGATATTTTTCCTCTCCTTTGCTGTTCTGCAGCATATGGAATAGTTATGATGTATCGAATCTTCCTGTGTAGGCCCACTCTAAATTTAGAAAGTATTATTAAAGAGAACTTTTCTAATGATATTTTTTCTGTTTCTAAGGTCTATGTTCAAGATATTCTTCAAAATGAGTTGGAAACCGAAGTATGTAATATCTTGCATAAAGAGGAAGGGCATCTGTATGTCTGTGGAGATGTACGCATGGCCAGAGATGTCGCTCAGACTTTGAAGAGGATGCTTGTAAAAAATCTGGACCACACAGAGAAGCAGGCAGAAGAGTATTTCTTCCAGCTAAAGGTATTCTGTGATGTAGAAGGCATTCTTTCCATTCAGACAGTGCTCCAACACAGGTTTCAGAGTCACACTCCAGATCAATTAGTTTCTTTTCAGCAGCATGCTAAAGAAAAGTGCTTAAGTGCTAAGCTGATCAGCTTAGTCTGCTCACCACTGTCTAAAATGCATGGTTGCTGTCTGGTTAGGTTGTATGAATGTCATGTCATGCTCCTCTCTTACATACTACATTTTGCCCAGCATCCCTCTTTTGATCCTGGCCATTAGCTTTGTGATGTCTCCAGAGCATCAAAAGTTTGACACTTTTTTGTACCAAAATAGGAATGTGACTTTCATAAAATAATGGGGCAGTCACTGAAAGCACAGTGTCTGAGTATGGCTGGCTTTGTGGGACAGTTCTGTCAGCAGAACTTGTCTGGAGATTGTGTGTCTGCAATTTGGTTCCTTTATTGGCAGCAAGAAAGTCCACCATCACAGAATGAGTTGTATGAATGCTACTTAAATGTCACAAAAAGATTCATCTCTTGGTTTTTGTTTGTTTTCTTCTTCAGAGCCAAAAGCGATACCATGAAGATATATTTGGGGCTGTGCTCCCACATGAAGTCAAAAGAACATAAGAGATTTGCAACCCATCAGTCCAGGCACGGACCGACAGTCTGTATGTGATATTTGCACATTTGTTGTTGTTGTTTTCAAAAATCTAGGGATCAAATCCTCTTCTTTATTCCTGCTAAATGCTGCACATCTGATGGTAGGATTTGACTTCTAAGCTTTAGCCTTAAGTAAGAAAAATATAAAATTTATCTTTTGTTGTTCTCAGACTTCTTTTAATAGATTAATATTGAAGATGCCAATTATTTTTTTAATTCTATCTAGGTCAGTATAGGTCTGTCATCTTTTGCAAATACAAAACATATAAAACCTGGTCACCAGGAAAATTTAGAGTTTTTTTTGCTATTAGTGACATTTTTTAGTTTTTTGCTATTGCAGGAAGTGATTTTTTTGTTTTTTTTTTTAACGGACTATTTATCTGTTTGAATTTATTTATATTATTGTTTTACTGTGCATATTATCTTCAAAGTTGTGGCACTTGGAAATGTCCAGAGATTTGTTGTATATGAAGGAACTCTTGCAAATGTGATAAAATACAACGGCTTATGAGTGGAAATACCTGCTGTTTACACTTACACTTCAAATGCATACATGTGAGGAGGTAGCAGTTTGATTTCTGCTCCATGTAGTTCAGGTACACCAACCTGAATTTTTGTTGTTACAGAGCCTACAGTAATGAGGTTCAGAAAATTCAAAAGCACTTTGTCCATCTGATTTCTATGCTCTGACTTTACTTGATTTGTTTGTAATAAAAGATACCTTTATTATTAAGACAAACCGATTGGTGTAGTTTAAATGTACTTCTGTGTCCTATTATCTTCAGCCTAAAAAAGTGCAGGTTGGTAGGTAAATGTAGGGGAAGTGCTAGAACACAGCCTGAGCTGATGATTGAGGACCTGGTGAAGGGGTGGCAGGGATGGTGGCCAGGAAGCGCAGGTGCAAGCAATTTTCTGAGCTTCCCACCTGACCAGCAGGGGTCTGCCTCCCCTTGGGTTCATTTAGAGCAAGCCTTCGATGGGAGAATGTTTCCTGGGTGGAGGCTGCTTCTTGAGGAGGTGTGTTTTATAGCCAGAAGACCCTCTTAACCAGTTGGGTGAGTCAACTTCCATCTGCGTGTGATTATTGCTGTTTCTAATGATGCTTTGCTTGGTGTCACAAAGAACTCATCAGAAGCAGTTTCTCTGCTTCCAAGGGCTGATGTGAGGTGTTCTCCAACCCGCACTCCCTCCTTAAGCAAAGAGCCCATCTCTGTGAGTTACACAGCCTGCCTAAGATGAGTTATATGGTCTTGTTACTTCTGGAGAGGTGTGAATCTTGCCTTCTGGATTGTGAACTAAAGAATGCAAAACAGCAATTGGAGCAATGTATATTGCCCTAGTTATGTTTTGAGTTTGGTTCTTGTCCGTTGCAGTTCTGTTATAACTTCTTTTCCTAAAATCAGCAGGAATTTATGATGGCATTAAAAAGCTAAAGGTGAGATTTTTTTCTGTCATCCTTTGTCTCCAGGAGCTGGAATCCAGTGAAGGATTTGACACTCAAAAGTCAACAGTGTCACGTATGTGCAGTGTGTTCCACGTGTTCTTCAGGACAGCTTTAAACATAAGATGAGAAACGCAGCATAGTTGAAAGGCTGTGGGCAGTGATGATGGAGAACAAGAAGTGTGGGACAGCAGAGACAGAGAGAGGACAGAGGAGGTTCATAGCAAGTATGTGGATGTTATTTCATGCTTTAACAAATTCTTTGCTTATGAAGTTTTGAGGTGAGGTGCAGAACGAGGTAACTTCCATCTCCATTTAGAAAGCTCTCAATAAGCCCAGGACTCTCTGAGCTCCGGGCTTCAAATAAGTCCAACGTAGGCAACAGAAGTAAGTTCTATATTTTAAAGTGTTAGTGTGTGCCTTGTGCTTTCAGGAGGAGTATTGCAGCACAATGCATTTGCCATGTGTTTAACAAAATAGATGTATTTTCTTGCCAGGAGTACTGGTGAAGTGGTCCCCTCTGGCTTTAGGGTTTAAAATGCAATTGAGTGTTACATCACAGTTGTCTGGAGCTCTGAATGGTCTCTGTGCTTGAGTTTGTCTTCACTGAGATGGGAATACTTGTTGACTGAGGAAAGGAGGGAGGGAAGTTTCTGTTGCTTTTCAGGGAAAAGATTCTTGGACTATTCACTGATGAAAGACAAATGCTTTAAAAACAAAAAGAACTTCAAAATCTTGACTAAGATATAAACAAATTTAATAAAAATGCACAAGTCATATAATGTGTTGCACAAATCCCAGGTTAGGATGTGCTCTGAGGCTTTCAGCAGGAGGCAGGTGATGATGCAAATGCCTCTGGGCTGGGTTTGCTGCTCTTCTTTGGGAAAAGGCATTGCCTTGGGTTGGTGGGAGCTGTGCTGCAGGGCTGGGATGTAATAATATAGCCAGTCAACAGTGAGCTTCCCTTTGCAGCTGGTGGGATGTAACCTTCGTGCTTGAGGTTTAGGGTTTGGTTTTGTTTTGTTTTTTTTTTTTGTATTTTAATACATGACCTCATCCTTCAAATTTAATTGATAATTACATTCATTATTTCTTTTTCTTTATGAAAAGCAAGAAGGCTCAACTTGTCTGAAGGCTTTTACTGTTTGTGTATGAAAGATCTAGATAAGATGGATGAAATGTAAAGCTGTGCTTTAAAGTGCACTGTCCTTTTCTCTGCAGGGCAGTACAAGGCTGTTGTTATTTTTGGAGTAAAGCTGTTTGGCAGCAGCACAGTGACCCTGGGGTTAACGGATTAATTAACACACAGCTGAGTAGCGCTGGCTGGAGCTGCGGCACACACAGGGGAGGGACAGTGGGCTCTGGGGCAGGAGGCAGCTCCCTCTTCTGTGGCAGTGCGTGGCTGCAGGTGTGCAGCCTTCTTGCAGCTGTTGGTGCTGATCAGTGCAGGCTGAGTCCTGTGGTGATGTGGGCGTGAGGGCTTTCTGCTGCTTCCTGGCAGCACAGGGGGATGAATTCCTCCAAAAACAAACTGTGTGGTGGCCTATGTGGTGAGCTGGGAGCTGAGAAGAGCTTTCAGCAAGGTAATGTTAAGATCCCTTTTACTGAAGCTCGTTGTGTGGTATCCTAACTGAATGACCTGATCCACCAAGAGATCTGCTCAGAGCTCAGGCCCTGCTGTGCCCCCTCGGCTTTCCTGAGCAGCTCTGAAGTGCTGAACTTGCCCAGCCTTGCTCCCAGCATAGTCTAATGCTCTGAGAAAAGTCAGCATTGGAGTTCCTCAAGCCAGGTAACTTGGCTCGCTGTAGCAGGTGGGGAAGCTTTCTGGTGCGTGCTGAGCAGCTGCAGTGCTGCTGGGACTGTGAGGAGTGGCGGGACCTGGAATTGTGCAGTGGGATGGGGAGCTGCTGAGAGCATGCACTGGGTTCTCAGTGCCATCCTGGTGCTGTTTGATGCCATTTGTGGTGAGAATTCCAGTGATCATAGCAAAAAGGAACTTGAACAGCATCTCAGTTCCATCTGTTAAAAAAGTTGAAGAAAGTTTGCCAGCTGTCCTGCAGCTGAAGGGCTTTTGCATCTGACTTGTAAGAGGAAACAAAATGATCCTTGTCTGCAGGAAAGGTGTGCTGTTAGAATATCAGCTGGGCAGATGTCAGTGATAGCTCAAAGCAAATGGCCACAACTTGAGTCAGTGTGGGGAAAGGGGCTGATGGGGGTGACATAGTGCTTTTTTCTGAGGACTTGCTATCACAAACAAGGTTCCAAAAACAATTTTTATTCCTCCCTGGCTGGGCTTTGCAGGACTACAATAATTGAGGGAAAAAAGATGAGAAAAAAAGAATGAGCTGCTTGTGCTTTAGTTTGGCTACAAGTGTGTGTGTGTGTGTGTGTTGGGGGGGGGGAGGGAGAGAGAAGGTCAAACCACAATTCTGTAACACTTGCTTTATCCAGAGCAAAGATTTATTTGCTGAAAAGATTCCTATGTATCCAGTATTTTATTAGCATAATGTGCACTTTTTTTTCCTTGCTGGTTGCATAAACTAATACAGCAACGGTTGTTAATACTAACAATTTTTAATTTAATAGCAATTCTGGAAGACACTCTGATAGAAAATATTTTAAAAAAAATTTACTGTACAAAGTTTACAACACATTTGAAAAGAAAAACGCGTCAATTTTCACCATATTACAGACTCCATTTACATTCACTATTGACGTGTGGCTATTGTAGCAGCATTGTACAGCCAGCTTCACATTTACACCTCTACAACAGGACAGGCTTACTGTGCTTCGTGCCTCACACCAGCACACGAGGAGACACATGGCCATAAAGCAGTGACCCAATGCCTGCTGCTCAGCTGTGGCAGAGAGATGGAAGCGCCTGATTTCATTCACAGCTGTACAGCTGCACGGCTCTGTTTGACTTCCATGTGCCTTACACAGCTGACTGCAACACATTACCCCAGACAGTAATTGGCCCTGCTCTCTGGTACGCTGGGTTTTGCTTTTAAGAACCATTTATGGGAGTTAAACACAAAACCAAGGAAGACTCAGACTGAATCTCAAACTTCATGATTTAAAGGCAAGGTTTGAAACCCTTCCTGCAGCAGGATGGCACTCCATCAGCCTGCAGTGCTCATGGGTCAGCCCCATCTGCTTTCAGCACACTGCAAAGTGAAGCACCAAGGGACAGGCAGCCCTGCTGACACAGGTGTAGCTGCCTTGCTGGAAAGCAGGGTCAGCACAGCATTCTGCCTGGAAACAGCCAGGGTTTGAACCTCACATGAGGGCAGTCACACAGGGAGAACAACGTTTGGTTTTTAATTTTATTTTGTTGTAAGCTGGATAGTCTGTCCAACCAGCCATCCTGTAGGAAAAGATTGAGAAGGTCGTGCTTTCTCAGCATTGTTCTTGCACATTGCCACAGCAGCGTTACTGCTGACAGCCAGGTGAGCAATCACTCTTTCCTTCCCACAATGAAAGCTCTGGGTTTCCCAAGTGAGACAGGAATAGCAGTGAGAGCATGCTGTGGTGCAGAGGGGCTGCTCAGACCCGATGCAATGTGTGCATCCAGCAGCAGCTTCTGCTCTCCCTAAGGCAAGGTACAATGCTGCCCGTGGGTTCATAACCTTAACGTTGCTACGAAGCAGGTTTCTCCTGGCTTTTACTGCACTGTCAATACTTAAGTGGTACTCGTTGGAAAACAACCTCTGTTTAAATCTGTGACAATGTTATTGTGAGAGAGCAAACAGTAGCAAGGCTTGAAGAGAAAGCAGGTGGTGGCTAAAAGGGCACGGTGTGCTGAGGGGCCTATTTGCTTTTCTGAGGTGGTAAGAGGGAGGTCAAGAGAACCATGTCTCCATGCTTGGCTACCACCAAACAAATTCTGTTTTATATTTGAGGCACATTTAAAATCACCATAGCATAGTGAAGGAGTAGCTGGAGTGAAGCCCTCTAGACAGAACTTCTTTTTTTCTCCACTTGATTTTCTCCAAGTCAGCTGCTGTAACCAAACTGAGTGCCTATCACTTTGTGTGCCTCGTGGAGGACTTCAGAGCTTTTCCCTCTGTAATCTACATTATAAAGCCTTGTAATGGTGGCAAAAGATAGAAAAGAGGCATGTAATGTACTAGTGTGACTGGAGAGATGAAATTTGGTGACTTTCAGGGAGTCCTAATGAACTACCTTAAAAATGAAGCAGTGTAAGGACAGAAGGGCTCTTTAATGTCCACTGCATAATTAGAGTTGTCCTGCTGCCCTGGCTGACAGGCAAAGGCAGAGGAACAAGAATGGGAGGTGTGATGGAACATTTAATGCAGCTTGCAATTCATTTGCAAGTGAGATAATGCATCTGTTACCTTAAATGCAGAAATAAGCTGTGTCCTTTATCAGTCTGTGTATTGCACATTGTAGCATGTGGTTTCCTTTTGATTTTGGGGGGCTGGGTTTTTTCTTGGTCTTAACCTTTGAAACGGGTCTTGGATTGACTCAGGTTCTCTGGAACAAAATGTAACTTTCCCAGCTGCAAGGGTTTTGCTGTTCTTAGTTTTCCTCAGAACTGCTGAGTCCTAAATTTCTTAAATTCTTGCAGACTTATCTGACTGTCTGGAGGAGTGTGTGTGTGCACACAGGGGAGAGAAATGACTTTGAGTCTCTTAACAAGCTCTGTGTATCAGAACAGTATGTTATACATTGTTCAGGGATGGCTTTTTCCCTTGATTTTCTTCCCTCCCTGGAGCTCTATCTAGTGAAATATGTTCTTCTACAAATGAGATTGCCATCAGGGCAGCAAGGGGTGAGGTCTGGCAGTGCTCTGGTTCAGGGGACCAAACGGGTTGTGCCTGAAGCTTTCCAGGGGCAGCCAGCTGGGGTGGCCCTGCCTGAGCAGGGCTGAAAGCGGATGGACCCAGAGGTCCACTGCCAGCCCAACCAACCCGACGCAGTTCTGTGGCAGGGCAATTCAGCTTTTCTTGTGAGTTCTGTGTTGAAGTGCTCAGTTCTGTTTCAATGAGATAACTGTATGTTTGACAGCAAACTCCCCTGCAAGAAGCAGATTTTTACTGCTTTAACTTAATTCAGGGTAACCCAGAGCTTGGACCAACCTGCAGAAACAAACCGGAGTGATCACAAACTGAATTATCAGTTTGGATAAATCACAATGCAATAGATAAATTTCACCTTAACAAGAGAAAAACAATTTAAAACTCCCATCTCCTTGCATGAGATACGTAACCATTCTGAAACAAAGCGGTTCCACTTGTCTTAGGGAAAAATGCACTGAAGGCAGAAGATCATTCCTGATCTTTACACCACAGACGCAAGAAGGAACTAGAAGGAGGTTGGTTTCTCTTTGTGCTAGTGGAATGGCTGTAGTTAATTGATTCGCTGTTTATTGTGTTTAAAAAATATATAGTTCACGCAAAAGTATCATGTAAACATTCTTTAAATAACTGCTGGTGCTCAGGCAGAATTCACCCTTTGCCAACAACAAAGGACTGTTAATTGATGGTCGTGTGGCTTTCAGCTGTGGCTGCACCAGTTTCATAGCTTGGAAAATTCAGTGAAGATTTCTTTGTGTGTAAGTAGGTAGACATTATCACAAGACAACCACACACCATGCTATATCTTTTGATTACTTGGTTCCAGGATTCCCAAGCCAAATCTCTCAAAACGCAGGACAACTTTGCTACTGTTAATGCTGAAAAGAGTGGGGAAGGAAAGGAGAAAGGAGGGGAAAAGAATTATTTATTGTTGTTTTTTTGTTGTGTTTTTTTCTCCCCTACAAAGCTACAGTCATATAAAAGTAAATGGGTTGGGCTCTGCTCTCATGCAGTGAGAGATCACCCAGCAGTGTTTAAAAATTAAGCAGCAAACATTTGAATTTATTCATGCTAACCTCATTAGTGAAAGCATATGGCTCAAATTGGCAAAACAGGAGGCTTTTAAGTACCTAACCTAAGGTGGGTAGAAGACTGACATAAATTTGGTTTCGTTGAAATAGAAATGGAGAAAATAATTACTTATTTAAGAGGAAGGGGCATTCTGACAAGGTACATCAATTGCTTTAAAAAACACATCTGCTCCTCTTTATAGTCTAGAGAAAGTGAATAAAGATATCTTCTCATCCACCCTTAATCTGTTAGCAGAGCTAGAAATGTTTTCACTTCAAAATGCCTTCCTCCACGTACGTGGTTGGTGGCAGCAAGGCAGGGAGCATGAAGGCTTCCAGCAGACCCTTTCCAGTGCAGTGTGCAGGTGTCTGATTTTGAGAGAATGACATGTAGGTGTATTTGTCCTCACTGAACACAGTAAAAACCTCCCTGGTTCCTGCTGCATGTCTGCCTCTATCCTTGTCCTCCCTCCAGTGAAACAATTTTTTTTCAAAAAAGGAATGAAAAAAGACCTTTTACAAAAAGGCACACATTTGCAGTGCTGCCTACAGTTCTGCAAAGTTCTTACTGCAAAGTCAGGCGTTTTGCTGAACCAGAGATGTAAACAAAAGCAAATCACGGAACTCAAAACACTGGATTTGCAAGGAAAGGAGAAGGAGGAACTGAAGGGCTTCCCTACTTTCCTCCTCTTCTGCTAAGTGCTGTAGCTGATCCCACTTTTGGATGCAGCTGCTGGTGGTGCATTCACAGGTAGGCTGAGGGACTGCAATCTGCCCTGAGCACAGCGAGGGCTGGCCTCCTTTCTCTGCACCTGCTGTGTGCACCCCTGACAAAGCTGACCCTTGGTTCGATGCAGGGCTGGGTCCGGCTCTACAGCAGAACCAACCCACTCTGTCCCTTAACTCTCGTTGGTTTGCAATGCAAGTGAAGTGTTCACTTGTTGGCTGCGCCTGTGGAAAATGCACCTGTTGAGTCAAAAGCCATAGCCCAGCACTGAGGATGACAGCCACCACCTCAGCAGCTAGGAAACTTCCCCTGTCTGCCTCCTGAGGCTTGTAGGCCACAACTGCCAGCGTCAGCCAAAGCCCAGCCTGTTGCTGCCCACACCAGTCAGGGCAGAGCGCCAGCTGCCTGCCAGGAGGAAGCTGCAGCCTGCTGCCGTGACTCGGAAGTGAAAGGTGCTGCGTTGTTAGACAGTAACTTCTTGCAGGCAGGAGTTGTTATTCAAGCTAACAGCCCACGCCAAGCAGAAAAAGGCAGAAAAGGAGAAGTCGGATAAAATGCTGATTATGTCCATGGGTTAATTTCGTGGTTTGTTTTCATTTTTTTGAATGGAAGGTGATTGTCCAAGTTGCTGGTTAGGATACAACACGGGGAAGCATGCAAGGTGGAACCCATTATTGCACCAGTAGTTACAACCTACAAAGAAATATGGGAGGGAGGGGAAAAAGACACCATGAGAGTTAGTTTTCAGTTATTTTAAAACAAGCTCTTGAAAACTACCAACTATAAAGCTTACAGCAGAGTCAGGCGGGGGTTAGTGCAGTGTTTCTCTAAGGAGTTGTCAGAGGGGATGTGATTTCAGTAGGTTTTGCATCTGGTCGCTGGTTGACACTGATATACAGTGCTTTTTAAGTGTGACCTGAATATAATCTAGTTTGCAGGAGACAAAAACCAACTGAGCTGCCTGCACTTTCCACTTCAGTGAGCACTAATTCAGCTGACAATGTTGATACTTAAAGTACTTCTATTACATGCTTTCAGCAGAGAAAAAACAATAATGTATGCAAATCTACATGAACCACTTGCAGTAGGAGCAGAGGATCTGACTACACAGGGAAAAAAATAATTTGGGTCGCTGCTCCATAAGGCACAGTTCCACAGGCTGTTCAAGAACTCCCTCTGGAAACACTAACCCAAAATAATCACTTGGCAGATGTGATTATGGAAATGAGCACTCTTGTGAACCAACTGCCCAAATGGGAAGCATTACTTCAAGTAATTTCCAGTGTGATGTTAGGGGACAATGCAGGACCCTCTGACAGTCTGGGAATATTTAGGCAGCCCGGACTCCCAGTCTGCTCTACAGTGTCTGACTAGGTGGACTGAAAGATACCAAATTGGCTGTGGGAGTCAATGATCCAACACAAGTAGATCTGGTGGTATGGAAAAACGAGGGCATGAAAGTGTTGATGCAGAGCCATCATGCTGGAGGGCTTTACAGCAAAGGGCTGCTGTAGGAAAGGAAGAACTTTAACAAAGGATGCTGCCATATCATGTGTATCTCCTGACAAAAGAATTGTTGTCCATAAAACAATTTGAACTCCATGATCCTCCTCTGAGACAAAAGATGATTTGTTTAAAAATATTGGGGTTAAGTTACCTTTCAAATCCAAGAATAAGAGACCCTCACTGATCATCGCGCTCTGCAGCTTATCACACTGACCAGATTCTATACCTGCCTTTTGTACTGCCATCCTTCTCAGCACTCTAAGCACAGCATAACTTGCTCTCTAACTCCCAATATGCAGAGGAGACAGATTTAAATTTACAGTGCTTTAGGTCTGAAGAGGAAAAAGAGCTGTTTCTCTTCATTTATGAATGACGGAACTTTGAGCTCAAGTTCTGTTGGTTTCTCGTTGGATACTTATTTAGAGGAAAAAAACTTAAAAGAAAAAAAAAAAATCAAGACAACTGAAATCCTCAGACTGATGCTGTAACTGATCTGCTGGAGTAAGGAGGGAGCAGGGCACAGAAAGACACCTTACCTCCCACCTACAGTCACACCCCAGTGCACAGCAGAAACTGATGTTGCAGAGAACTGCTACATCTAAGGATCTCCCTGTTTTTCATTGTATCTTTCTAAAATGAGTGCTGTGATATATTAATGTATCTAACACATGGAAAAAATAGTAGACAATTCTACTTATCGATGAGTGGATAGTAAGCATTCAACTTTTGCTGGTAATAGTTTTCTTTTGTATAAAGATGAGGCCATCTTTTAATGTTGTTAGACACTATAACAAGAAACAAAGGGTGAAATCTGCAACCAAACGCCCAAATAAAGCACACACCAAGGCACAAAATGCCAAGACAGTCAGCATACAGGTAAACAGAAGCATTTGTTTAGTGATGAGAATGTATTACAGGAAGATCATGAAGGGTTATGGTAAGGAAGGGGTAGATTAAACATCAAAAAGGGAAAGAAAAAAGAAAATATTAGAGGGTCAGTTGAAGAAAATATACACCAAAGAAAGATGGGCACGGTTCACAAGTGTCTGATCTCTCCCTGACTTTGAGGCAAGCGAAACTGGGATCCCTTATTGTCTGAGTGATGGGTATTCATGATGCCGGAGACAAAAGGTTTTAGTCCTATGGCTTTAGGCAAGTCTATTCTGACCTGGATTTAGTTCCAAATTCTGCTCTCATCTATCATAACAGATACCATAGGGACTCTCCCAGTTTTGGCTGTTTACAGATGCTTGATCTTGTGATACTTTTCTTTCCCAGTTCCAACACAGATCCTAAATTGGAAAGTGTCATGATCTGGCTAGGATTTGTGCTGCTACTTCTCATCTTTCCTTGATCCAAATCTTGACATGATTCCAGCTTATTCAGTCCAGAAGTAACAACTTGTCCCTAGCTGTCAATTTACTGCTTTTGCCAAGCAATTTAGAGATTCTGAAGATTTTAACACGTTTTTTTTTTTTTCCTCCAGAGGTCAACTAGATTGAGTAAAGTGCTCCAATCCTTTATCTGTCTATGAGAACTGGGCTGCCTTCCCTACAGGGGGGGAGGGTTTGCATTTTTTCTCTTTGTGCTCCTTGAGGAAGGTTGCTACATTGAGGCTTTTCCATAAGTTGATGATTCAGTTTAAAAGGGAAATGGCAGCATGTTCTTTGGTGGTTCCCTTCCTCATTCAGTACCAGCCATTAAAAGGAAAGCTCTAATCACTTTCAGGTCAGTGTGGGCACTTTCCAATAACGTTGGTAGATACTGTCAGAAGCCTGAACAAAGCTGGATAAATGATCTACAGGAGGGAAGTGAATATGTTGAAGTAGGAAATTAACTGTCTGAAGTGCATGCACATTTAATTGCATAATTTCCTAGCAACTAGAAAAGCAAAACAGCACACTGTTACTCTGCTGTTAAAAGTATGACAGACCCCAGGAAGGCAAAATTAAGCACAGGAACAGTTGGTTAGCAAATTCTGAGCAGCATAAGTGTTAACCACATGTTAACATGTACATGTTAGACCACAAGTACTCACTCAGCAGACTTCCAGAAGTGCCCTGGGTGGGAGAGCCGACGATTCAGTTTTGGCAGTTTTTCAAGCATATCCATGAGGACAGTGAAGCTAGGTCTCTCACTGAGATCAAATGACCAGCATGCTGAGAGAATTTCCTGCAAAGGATAGTTAAGGCTCATTATTTCCACTTAGTTCACACGTCAGCTGTGCAAACTGATCGATGGAGCAGTGCAACTTGAGACAGCCCAGCAAGAGCTACTTTTTAAGCAGTTGTCTTGGTCATTCTTAAAATCAGTGTCCTGTGTACCAGTGGATGTCACGTCTATATGACAATAATGGGAAGAGGCTGGTACCTCATTCCAATCTGCTCTCTCTCCTGCTCTTCATCTTTAGAATTATAATAAGAGTAAAATAAGCAGCTCCCTCTTCTACAGCAACCCTGACAAACAGCTTTTTGGAAGGACTCCTGCAGCTGATGTACCTACATTGATTTCTTTCCCCAAACTAATAGTTGCAAGGATTTGTTTCACTCCTTCACCACTTCCAATCTGCCAGATGAGTGCCTCAGCAGGCTGGTTCTTGAAGGGCCATTCTCTTGCTTGGAGCTCGTACCACACAGTCCTGCAACATAAACAGACAAATCAAGCCTCTGCCTGCTCTTAAGATGCAAAACTCTGACAGAATCCCAATTTTTTCAGAAAGCTCTGAAATGTAAATAAGGCTGCAGCAAATCCCTCCCAGCCCATTCACCCACCTTCCCCTCAAACTGTCACACCCAACACCTTTCACAGTAGGTGAGGGAAATGCAGCCCAGCTGAATCCTGTGCCTGACAGAAGAGTGGCAAGGCTCAGGTCTAAAATTCCTATCTCATTTAGAAAGTTCCTGTGATACTCTTTAGTCTTCTTCCCTTACCCAAAGGCATAGATATCTGCAGCTTTGGAGAAAGGCAGCCTGTCTTCATCTTTCCCAGGGGCCATCTCGCGAACAATTTCAGGGGCCAGGTAGCATAACCAGTCATGAGGCAGCTTCAATTCATTCTCTCTCCTGAGTTCAAAGGAAAAGTCAGACTGAAACACAGTATTAATTAAACTAAGAGACAGCACTTGGTGCTTATCTGTGGTTTGCCTAATGCTGTGACTCTTCTTAAATGTTTTGGCTTGGCTAACATGTTCTTTCTAATTTTCTTGCCATATTAAAAAACACATGCCAGTGTTGGCCTGACTTTCCAGCTCATCCTTGGGCTTAAAATTGTTTTTGTTCCGTGTTATGAGACTCAATTCACAGCTGTGTGCCATTGGAAGTGTAGAAAGGCCTCTACTTTAAAAAAGTGCATTCCAAAACACGCATAGTAAAGGACCCAGATCTCCTCTCCTGCACTGTGTGATGCACTGAAGTGTGTCCCTATTAGATTGTTTTTTATCACCCCAGAAGTGTGCCATGCACTGAAACTTCCACCTACCTTCCTTCCTGAACCACACCCGAAATTCCAAATAGTCCAAAGTCAGTGATCACTACTTTTCCATTGTCATAAAAAACGTTCTTGGATTTCAGATCCTTGTGTACAATCCCCTTTGCGTGAAGATAGCCCATGCCCTGGAAAAAAAGTTTGTATGCAGAGATGTAAGTTTTGTCTTCTTTACAAGCCTCTAACTGGGCATGTCTTTCTTTCTAATAAGTGTTTACTCTATTCACTCCAGCATGAACAATAAGTGGGGATACAGCAGCTTCCTCCTCTGTACAGCAGGGTTGCTGGGAGGGTACTTCTAATTGAAGCAGTGACTGTGAACTTCACAACTCTGCATAAGTGTTTATGTGTATGAACAAGGAACAACTGACACAAGCTTGCTCAGTAAATTCCTAGGATGCTTCTGCCAGCAAAGAAAACAACAGCTTCAGAAATGCTATTTCAATTGAGCAATACTGAAAACAACTATGGAAAACTGCAAATCTGGAAGATAATGTCTGTTTCAGAATGCATCAACATAGTTGTAGTTACTAATAAAAGAGAAGAGACTGGGAAGGAAACATGCCCTGCGTGCATTTCTTCATGGTTGCATTTTATCAAAAATTCTCCCTTCCCAACCCCAGATAAGCAAAAGATCAATTTCTGTCCCTACAGGTCTTCAGCTTACTGCCCACTGAATTAGCAGTTTTCCTTCCTCCAGTTTCAAGTTTTTCCCTGCTGCAGCATCCTGCAGTAAGGCTTTTGGACATACAGACCCTCCCCAGCTGTGCAGCCTCTTGACATTTGCTGAGGTACTGCCCAGAACGCAGATGTCTCCGATAGCACGGCGTATGCTTACCTTAATGATCTCCTGTGCTATCTGCCTGGTTTTGTTAATATCCAGGGATATCTTGGGGTCCCTTACAAATGAATGAAGTGTCCTTCCTTTGCAGAAGCTATAAGAAAGAAGAATAAGAGTCCTAAGAAGTCTCTTTTAAACACTGCAGGAACATAAAAATGACCACTGGATGCTCTCATCACGTGGACAGAATCAGTCTTCTTCCCTCTGCTGAGCAGTGCCATTTTCAGTGATGTAAATGGCTCAGCTGACACCCGTGTGGGTGAGCACAGTCACAGCTATTGCTGCCATCCAGTTATTGCTAAAGTGTGTTCAAGCAGACGCTCGTGTGTTTCCGCAGTGGCCCTGATCTCGTTTTGCTCTTCTGACAAGTAAGGCCAGATTTCAAAACCTGAGCACCAGCTTATGCTGAGACTGCGGATTGTTTTATCCCACTTTAAGAATTCAAAAGACTTTAAGAGATTAAAAAATAAGAATTAAACTGCCAATAAATAAGCTCCCTAAGAAGAGACGCCTCTAATATCCAAACCTCCAAGCAATAGAAGCTGCATTTATGTCTTCCACCTTCAGACTACAGAAACATTACATATTCATTTATAATTCATGCATATTTTATAAACATGCATTAAATATTTGTTATGCAAGTATATAAATTACAAATATGTTTATAAAAAATTATTCTATATTATTGCTATTATAAATGGATAAGCACGTGTAGCATTGCTAACAGAAGTTGCTGTATCCTTACCTGGTAATGATTGCTAAATGAGGAGGGTTCATGCACGCTCCCATGAAAAGCACCACATTCTCATGCCGGGTCTGTCTGTAATTCATCACCTCCTTTTTAAAGAGCTTGAGATGATCCTGATTGTTCCCATCTATCTCCAGCAGCCTGATGGCCACTTCCCCGTGCCATTTTCCCCTGTGAACCTTTCCCCATCGTCCTTGGCCGATGGGATCCCCCAGTTCGATCTGTTCGAAGGGAATGTCCCATTCCTGCAGGTAGACGCTGGTCTGGCTGGGTTTGCGGTAAATCATCCCTTGCAAGTGCGGCCTTCTGTTTGGCAGATCTTCCACTTCGTCCTCATCGTCTTCAGGTTCTGATTTATTACTCTCAGGTTCTTCCACCTGTTTACAGAAAGAGAAAGGAAAAGCATGCAGAGAGGTCTGTTTTGAGAGGACTCGGGTAGGTTTATCTGACTACAGATCTAGAGATCTGTTCAGAGGACAAAGTCATCTGAGAAGGCTATGAGAAGGCATGCGCCTCCTCTGGGGAAATGGCTCAAGAACCGCCTGAGAAACAACCGCAGGCCACTGAGCAAACCAAAGATTTGAGAAGTATCACCTTAGCCCAATTAGAAACAGTTACTTTTTGTTACAAGTGTTTCATTGTTTCAGCCTGGCAACAGAAACCACCAACTGTCAGAGCAGATCTTTGCAGCATAGACAGCTGAGTGCGACTGAAGGCACAGCTGGTCTACAGTCAGGGCATCGCAGCCAGGAGCTTCTGTTGTGGTACAACATGGCCTTTGGGGTTACAAAAGAGGTATAAAAGGGGAAACCGTTAAGCCTACCTCTGCTTCATGTTTAATTCCATCTGTATCTGGCTGTTCTTTAGCACTAAAAGAGAAGACAGATTTGTAGTAAGAAATAAATAGGGTGCAGATAGGAAAGCAGTGTAGTCAATCAGATCAAAGCACAATCAGTGCTCTACTTAACAACTAGGCACTTTCTAAGATTACTTTGACAAATAAGAGACAAAGACTTTGAAGTGATTCTCAGTGTTTAAGTGGTAGGAATTTACTGGCAGTGGTATGTCTGCATTATTACTATGTGTTCCAGTAACAGATGCTCCTATTCCCAGTACTACAGAAATACCTATGGAGTGGTCAAGCAATTTTGAGTGTTAGGTATGTAGGTTAAAAACATCAGCACACCCTACAATTCAGATCCCTACAAAGATGTTAGCTTGCCAGGCTCTTCCGTGCTGTTTCAATTGTGAAACCATTTACCTTCTATTTCGTTGGACCTTCTTGATCTGGGAACATGCACATACAGCCATAACTGTCTATCTGAAGGCACAGTCCCAGTTAAAAAACATTTTCAGTTTTACAAAACCAGAAATACCAGTACCACTCTTGTTGACTGAAATGATTGAAAATTGATCCCGGAGGAGTTTTCAGATGGTACATTCAGCAGGCCACTGGTTTCAGTTATAACAATACCTTCACACTGACCTGAAGATTATCAGGTTAACACAACATAAATAAAACAAGCAGTACTTACTTTGTGTCTGCAGTGGGTTCCGGAGGCTGTGCTGTTTGTGCAGGACTGGGAATTTCTGGAAAGTATGAAAATTATTATACATGTTTTAGACTTCCCTTATAGATCAGAATATTCAACACTGCAGTAACGGCTGTTTTACATGCCTTTATATCAACCAGTCCCAGTTTCCTTAACATTCACTTATCTGTAACATTTTGCAATGGCTGTCCTCATCTGTGAGCTGCTCACACCCTTTTAAATGGCCTTCAGCAATCAGAAATACTTGAATCCAGATGCCCCAGTTCTGCAAGGATTAATCTTTATTGCAGGCCATGCATTCCACCCACACTTAGTGTGACCAATGTCACCAATGCATAGGAAATTCATCTTGGGCTGCAAATTCTTGCAAAATTTAGAGTACAATACTCTGTACCTCGCAACCTACATCACCAGTTCTCATTTTGGAAATAGACAAGCTGTTTCTGAGGGTTCATGAACAGTGAACAAGAAAAGATGTTGCACATATGAATAATGTTACATCATTTTTAAATCCCATAGGCAAGAACATCAATTCATAAAGGTGAACTCAGCATTCCTGAACTGACAGCATCCATTTATTCTAAGCATATAATCCGAAAAGACAGCCTTAACAAAGGAACACAGCTGTGAGTAGAATCTCACAGAAGTCTATTGCTTTATCTGTTGTATTGGACAGACTTCTTTTCAGAAGCAGAATTATCATTCTTGGGTAGCATGCAGAAATTTATAAACAGTTACTTTCCAGCAGCAGAAGGCAGTTAGTAGAATTAAAACTGTCAACTCACCTGGGAAGATAAACTGTTGTCTATGCTGAATATAGTAGGCAGCTTTTGTTTGGTTAAAAAAAAAAAACAACAAAACACCAGGAAAAAAAACAACACAGAAAAAACAACAAACAAGTTAGAGGATCATCAGTAAGTGCCACATTTGCGTTCCATGAATTAGTCCCAACTCACTGTTGGGAAGCAGATTAGTTGATTATCAGTCTGCTTTAGGGGTGAATTTCAGCTCATGCGTTTTTGGAAGGCACATGAGTGCTGTGTTACCAATAAGCAAGCAGTCTGGTGGGAAAACAACCCATTCAGACATCAAGTGGAAGAAGCAAACTCAGAGAGCCCAGGGATGCTAACAGGCAGGCCCAGGCAAAAGCTGGTCTTTCAATCCTCTCTCATATCATCAGATTTCCCAAGCTGCATGCAGAGAGGCTGAAGCTCAAGAGCTATTTGCAAGTTTTAATTTCACTTAATTTGAATTACTTGTCCTAATACAAAGTAACTGCAGTAGAATCCTTGCACTAAACTGGCATTGCTTCTGCTCCTTTTAAGAAGGCTAAAACAGCAACTTTCACAGGTGAGAAATTTTCTGCAAAACATAGCAGTATTTAAGGCCAGATGCAGCACCTGTTCAGCACCGTGTGACTTCATTTCCAGGTAGAAGGAATTACATTTATTCTACTATGAAAGCCTTGCCTCCATCACCTCTGTTAAAGACAGCATATTTGAGTCCTTAATCTGTGAAGTACGTAAATTGTTCACCATGCACACCTGTCTACACCTTAAAAGCCAGTGTTCATTGTTGGTTATCTTTTGGAAGGGACCGATAAAACTGGTTCATGCAAGTTTTCATTTTAATATTTTGTTCCAGCGATGAACTTACGATTTAAAGCCTCTGGTGACCAAAAGCAGCAGGCAGCATGCATTTTATGATACAGTAACAAAAATGAGGAAAAGAATTCCACTTTCTTTAAGTACTCATCAGAAAAGAAAAAAAGAAAAAGAAAGTACGAAGATCACATTGTGTAAGAAAGGTACCAGAACTCCTCAGTAATTTCTGTCCTGCAAAAGTATCTTGACTTAAAACCCTGAAAGAACAGACTGCTTCCTTTTATCAGATGACAAGAAAAAAATTTTCAAACCTTGAATAAGACTTAACTATCTATTCAGAAACCTGAATCTACTTGTGAAGTCTTGGTTAGCCTCCACAGAAACCTTTCTCATCTTGGCAGAGTGCTCCAGAAAAAGATGAGTCTACCTGGGAAGTTAAATCGTCCGTCTCTCTGGCCCATAGGAGATAAGTTTGGGGGAGGTGTTGCACTGGGAGGGTTGGAAGACTGGAAAGGTGCTGGAGAAGATGGCGTGGAAGAGGTTGTAGAAGAGGGGTTACTGCTGGAGTCCAGATGATTTATTGCTGGTGGGTGCTCCTGGAATGCAAGAAAAGTCACTAATGAGTACATAAAAATATAGAGTTTCCATCAATGTTTAATGAAACGAGGAAGGCTGTCCCTAGCCTCAAACACAACACAGTTTCTCTGAGTGAGGCAGAGGCTCAAGATGTGCACAACCAATGTTTAACAAGGAGGAAAAGTCATTCTAAAGACTCTTTGCAAAGTGAAAGCTAAAGTGCCATTCTTGTTCCAGCCAGTAAGGTACTACTGTGACCTCTCCTTATTGTAGCTCCTCGCTGACTTTGAGGCAGAAGATTCACATCAGTCACTACGTACCTTTTTAGTGACTGCTTTGGGAAGAGTTCCAAACTGTGGTTCTGTTGGTCTGTCTACTGGATTGTTGATATCAGAAGGGACAGACTCTGTTCTCCTTATTTTGGTAACTGAAAAACAGGTTGGAGATGAGATGGAAAAAACACTTTAATCAGACTTATTATTCCTGTGATGCCATCAGCTACTTGGATGTGCTAAGAATTTGTAGTGAACTTACTGGGAAGGAATGATATTCTACAAGCAGGTGCCTCTTTAGTACACTTGTTGTGACATTTCAATCTGAAAGAGAAACGTTAAATAACACTTTTTCTTTCCCATAAAGAAGCCTACCCTTAATTTATACTATTTATGTGAATCTTAAGGAGGATTCTGGAAAGTTCTAAGCCCCAAAGCAGGTCCACGTGTTATGTGAAGAATCCCGTCATACGTATCATTAGGCTAACGAAACTCAGATAGATACCCTAGCATCTGATTTATTTCTAATAAATTTATCTTCACTTATGACTATCTTGAGACAGGGAACTGTGAAAATTTCAGCCCTCTGGACTGAAAATCCAGAGAATCAAAACCAAATCTTTGTTGCTGTACAGGAATTCAACTTCCAGTACAAGATTTGCCTATGGTCAGGTAGGCTCCCAGCCTAAATACTGGTATGCCAAAGCAACCCACTGCCAGTTTGACTGAAAAAAGTAACACCACTGTTAACAGTGCATCACATCTTGAGATATTTGTTAGACAGACTTGAATGAATAAAACCTGAACCTCTTATGTAAAAGATCATCTTTGTGTGCTCACCTGCAGTACTTACACTTCACCCCAAACATCATACTTTTCTGACAAACTTGGCAAATCTGAGATAACCAAGATTTCGTAGAGAACCTAAGCAGAAGAAAGAGGGGAAAAATAAGTTAACTGTGCCTAAAGAAAACTACATTTTAGCTGCAGACTCCTTTAGCATTTTCAGAAAAGGGCAAGTGGTGTTATGGAAGATTTCCCACTTTTCTGATCAATAGCAACTTAAAGAAGGCTAGCACTGATTCTGCTGGACTCTGGCTAGCCTGAACGTCTTTACAAAGCTGGGACCCAATTTATAGTGCGTGCAGTGATGGTGGTAAGACTATTAACCCTTTTACTAAAAAGAACTGAAGGGTTTGTTTGGCATTAGTACTAACTGTCCCAGTTTTGGTCTGGATTTGGGAAGGGGGCATGCAGGAAATTGCAAAGGAAGAAAAAGGAAATGCTTTTTCCACGAAGGGAGGAAGGAGCAGCTCCCTTTTGTTTTTAGCAGCAGAAGCACTTTAGAAAAGGCACTGTTGCACATTTCTTTTAGTCAGTCCTTTCACCCAGGACACAAGCCCCAAACAAAACATTACTGCTGTCGGTACACCAGTCACTGAGGAATCACAAGTCAGTTAGCTTTGGACAAAGGATTTCATGAGCTGAACACATCAGAGATATTAAAAACAGAAGGAGCTGAAATACAGATTCAAGGTTGAACTTGACAAACGAGGCACCTGACCCAACGTCAAGCCCATCTTTACTACTACAAACACACTGAATATGATGCTGTTTTGGTCTGACCTTTCCATTTATTTCCTTTGTGGTTCCCACAGAACCTGTTGCTTACCTGTGCGTTACAGCTAAGCCAAAGTCTCTTCGTACCATTTGAGGGGATCCTTGGGAGAGTTCTGATGGAGAACAAAGATCTTTTAGGGAAGCATTACCCACAGGCACACTTACTGTGTCGATGTAAACACTGTTACAGATAAAAACTAGTAGCCATGACTTCTCTAGAAGCACAGCTGAGATCGATTTGCCTTGTGCAGTAAAACTACAAAGATAGTAGTGTTTTTCATACTGGGGCAATGTAAACTAAGATTTGGTGTTAGAATCATCATTCTTCCTTCCTTGCACTAAAATCTTATGTATTATGTTTAGGGGTTAAGTAAGCCCTAGGCCATTCTCATAACCAAGTGGAAAGTCACACAATAGCTTATTCCCAATTGGCTTTCCACCGAAACCATCATCCAGTTTCCAAGTATTCAGTAGATTTCAGTGTATTCTTTTATACTGTAAATTATTATCACCATTTTATAGACAGAACCAAGTGTGGCCCAGAAGAATAAAAAAATTTAGCTGGCATCACTTAGCTAGCCAATACATGCAGAAAAGGAGAGCTACAGTCCAAAATTCCAGTCCAGTGCTCCAGTGGTTATACCAAAAACCTTCCTGGCAGCTCTCAAATATTAAGACTGCCATACTTCCTGAATTAAATCTGTCATTTTGCAAACTGGGAGAAAACAACCTGTAGCTATCAGCACAGCCTCAAGACGGGACACTGTCAATGCTTATAAAAGCTGGTCTCTCTCTTTGACCCTAGGTGGCACCAAATTCTTTTTTTTTTTTTTTTCAATAATTACTCCAGTGAACTTTTCAGGGCATCTGTTGTCTTCAGCATCTCACAATAGGCTGGACTGACTAGCTGTTCTTCCAAAGAATACTGTTGAGCAAGTGCGGACATCCAAACCACAAATGTCTGCATAAATCATCGTAACATAAGTTACAACAAAAGTTACAAATTCTGCAATTTAATGGCGCATAAGAGAGCCCTCAGTATAATTTTTAAAATAGACTATGTGCATAGGAGCACCAAAAATCTTAATTTAACATTTTCTTATGCCTTTTCAATTCATTATATAAATTCCATCACTCCGCAGAGAGAAATGCTCCCATTTCTGCTTACATTCTCATTTTACAATTTTCTCTTTGTACTTTTTCATTTTTGAAAGTAATTTCGGGGATTTGCTCTACGGACTACTAGAGAAATGTGTGGTCCTTATATAAACTTCCATGCTGCACAGAATGGTGAGGCACTTTCCTAGAGCTTCTAAGTTACAAGTTCTGTGTCTAAGAGGCAGCTGCACACAGCCATGTTCAGTAGCATTAAAACACCAAACGTGTCGGTGTGTAAAAGCACAAGTCTTTGTCCTGCAGACCCTTAAATGTGTGAACAGACTCATCAGCAGAGGAAGTACTCTAGATTTAGGAACGTGCTGAAGCATTTCTCAGAAGGTCACACACGAGTGTGTAGTTTCATCACAGAGACACTAGGCAGTGAATATCTGAAGACAAATGGTTAGATCTATTTCTAGTACCAAGGGACCAAATCAGCTCTCAGAAGTCAAAGACAAGCAGTTACACACAAACTCCTAGTTTTAGCCCTTAAACATCAGCATTCGTTTTTCCTGCTTTTGTCATCCAAAGAAATACCAGGTACAAAGACCCTGCAAGCATCCTGCAATTCTTCACAAAAGTAACAGGAGCTCTGGAATGCAAGGCCTTATTAAGGGCTTCCACTGGCTGGACAGAGGTGACCGTACTGCAGGCTGTTGACAATGACAGGTTCTTCTCTCCTCGTCAAGGAAATACAGACAAACCTGTAAAAATCTCTTACCGAACCTGGAGAACAAGAAGGAAAAAAAGCCTGGATCAGTCAAAAATAAATATTTAGCCTGAGAGTACCTGTCTTCATGCAGAGGCATAGCTGTCACATAGATAGGATTTCTTAAAGCTCACACTAGCAGCTAAAATACATCCTAAGATAAAATGTAAAAGGCTACCAGCTACCTGACCTGAGAGGAACATTTATGGGCAAAAGAGAATTACAGGATATGGAAATGACTATTAGATATTTGAGAAAAAACTGGTTGGGGCCTTTTCATAGCAGCAGTCATCCCAACCTCCCAGGAAGGTGCAATTTCAAATAAGGAAACTATTAGCAAGCCAGTTTTGTGGTTATCCTAGAATATCCCACTGATACTGACTGTAAGACTGCAGTGAAACCACAACCAGCAACTGGCCACCAGCATCAGAACTGGAGCACCGAATGCCTGTTGGTGTGAAGGCAGCTCTTCAGTGCCCTAGGGGGAGGAAGTATCGTGCTTACTTTATTGGAGGAACATCATCTATCCTGTTTCCCAGCTGTGATTCATGGGACTTGCTCCTTGTGAGGGTTGGAAAATTAGGTAGCAGCTGAAAAACTTTCCGGCAAGGGGGAGGAGGAGTCCGTGGTGGCTTCAACTTGTGCCGTCTCTTGGCTTGAGGAGTGGCTGGGGGAGTGATGGTGATGCTATGAGGAGTCCTTGGTGCTAACTTTCCACCGTGTGCAGGGAAGGCAAAAGGGTCCAGGAGGTTATCTGCATAGACAGAAGGTCCGTGACTCGAGGCAAGGGAATCTGAAGATGAGACTGTAGACACCGACACCGATCGTGCCTGGGGGCTGTTGCCCTTGGGAAGGTTCAGTGCACTGTGAGTCCACGTGGGTGCAGAGGAGCAAGGGCACTCAGTCATGCTTGTAGAGCTGTTCTCTCGGCGTGCTTCAGAAAGATTCATCAGCACGTCATCTTTTAACTCCCCACCTGTTCAGCAACCATAGCAATGGTAGGTTTAGAAAGAAAAGAAAACAAAAATGCTGGCACACAATGCTGCATGCTGCAGCTTTAGGCTTTGAGGTGTTTTTTTCCCCTTCTTTGCATCTAGTCAAGTAATTGCTTCTCTCCTAAGGTCCATCTATGCCATCAGCTAAAGTTAACCTTTAAAACAAGGACTGCATCAACTACCCTTTCTTCATATCTCAAATTCTAAACTAAAATACATTTTAGTATTCTAAAAAATTCTAAGATAGGTTGAATTTTAACAGATGAAGTGGTAGTTATATATCTAGGCTTCAAAAAAAAAAATAACCTCTCAAAACACAGATTTTTATGTATTTTTTTAATGAAAAGAGGAACATTAATACAAGTGTACCTGAATTTGGGCTAGATGCCAATGCCTTCTGAACAATGGCTGATATTGCTACATACGGATGGGAAATATTTGACAATGCAGGACAAAAAAGATTAGAAAAAAGGAAACATGAAACTGAACTGTTTGTTGGCTTTTCCATTAACTAATCTTTATGATTGGTGAATGATACAAGCTGTCATAATACCAACAGGAAACAACACCTTTCCAGATGGGTAACTGTTAGAAAGAAAGATCTGCTGCACAGGAATGCCAGTATGCTGGTATGCCACATCTGATACAAATGGAATTTACAGTGCTTTGAAGGTAGACCTGGGAAGGTGGCAGGGGAAGATGGTGAAACAGCACTCTGGGAATCTTGAGGTTGTTCTTAAACAATTTGGTCAGATCCGCTGGACACGTGCATTCCTAATTAAACATTCTGTAATTTCAGTGTAAATCAAAGTTCTTTCTAGCTCTTACATCTGCTACTGGAATTTGGCTAATGATTATATCAATTTCCAGTCAGAAAAATAGCAGGAAGGAAGCAGCTTTAAAGAGGAGTCAGTCAATTGGCACCCTGCAAGCTATGCAGTGATAAAGGGTTGTCAGAGCAATGTTAGGCTTTTCCAAAGAATTAAGCTGAAAAACACCCAGGTTTCTGAGCTACATCATATGAAACAGAATTAGCTTCTCTCTGAGCTGGCAATATCTGGGGAGAGGAGTTTGCATTTGTTAGGTCCAGGATACTAAATGATGGAAGATTCACTGCAGCATCAGACCCAACTCTGAACACACAGGGAACAATCATAGTCTGTTGAGTTGGAGAGTATTTCTACATCCATTTATTTCCAGAGGTGAAAATACTGTCAAAAACCAAATCTCATTCATAGCTCTAGATGCATTTGATTGCTCTAATTTCATGCAGATCCAAGAGCCATCGCCTGACATCAGTTATAGCACATAACCAAAGACACAAAGGTTTCTGTAGATTGTCTCAAACGAAAGGAAGAAGGATGCAATCTGGGTTGCTGAGAAACTAATTCCACAGGAAAAAAAGCAGTCTTATACCTGATTCAGTCACCTTCCTTAAACAGCTCAGTGCCCCATTGAGTCTGGAGCACTCCTCATCTCTGGCGCCACATCTCTTCATCGTTTCTTTCACCTTTGATTCATTCATTTCAAGTAAGGCATCTAAGGTTAGCTCCTCTGGTATTCTCTGCAGGAGAAAAAAAGGTCGATGTACTTTTTTATTCCTACCTATAATAAGACTGTCATCTTTGTTTCTGATGCAAAGTAGTGCCACTGTCTCGCTGCCTGGTCTGACTCACGATTACTCACTTGGTAGCGAATCTCGTAGGATCAGTGGGTCAGTAGTGATCGCACAGCAGCAAGTGCTCAGAATGTGCTCTCTGTTCTCTCTACACCGAGAGATCAGGCACATGCTTGAGTGTGCTCTGTATCACTAGGATGCCATTGTCCTTCTCCAGTATTTAAATCAGGATTAGAGCTGACTGAAATATTCTTCTTTCCTCCCCCTGTGGAAAGTTTTCACTCAGTATTTTTTTAAAGTTACTAATTAAAGTTATCTATATCATTAAAACAAAGCAGGCCAAAAACCTGAAGAAAAAAAACCCTGCAAACTGGCAAATATTTGGTTTTAACTGGAGAAATGAAAAGTTCAGACAGTGTGGAAAATGGCTTCTTTCATCAACAGCAAGAATGTTTTGATAAAGAGATACTGACGATCTCCTTAAGCAATTTTACTTTCATTGGAGGACCAGCCTTACTGATACCCTGCTTAGAAACATACTTGTGTGTCTTAATACACCACACCCCCAAAAAGTTAATCAGGCAGACACAGAAGGTACAGGATTGTGGAAAGCATGAAGTGATCGGATGTTCCCTGACAAAGTTAAGCTGTATTGCCTCTCTCCTCCCTCATTCAAATGTTTCCAACGTAAGTCTGCAGCAATTGTAGTTAATAAACAAAACCAGGATACTTAGTGCAGATACCCAGGAATTTCCCTCGCACTTTTGCCTAAACAAACCTCACTGCTGCCTGTTGTCACAATGAGATCACAAATTTCACAATATTTGGCCTCCTTCCTGAAGTTTCAGCTGCTGGAACTGTGCTACATAAGAACGTTTCAACCTCTATTTAAATGGGAAACGGAGTGTATCTGTTTGAAAATAAAAAGCTTGAAATCTTGTGGACATTTAACACCAACCCTTCAAACCCTAAAAGGCTGCTAATCAAATTTGAGCGTGCATTGATGAATGTTGTTTTAAGATCACACCTCTCACAATCCTGACTAGGGACAGAAGTTAGCCTGGGTCCTAAAATCAAGAGATGCATCAAAACTGCTGCCATTGCTTTGACACAGGCAGCTGGTCTTAAACATTCTGAAATGCTCCAGTAGAAGTACTGAGAGTGCTCAGCTAATCACACCATACTTCTATGATTAAGTGATTAAGAGATAAAGTTAACCTGCCTTAATTCAGGCATTTCAATGCTAAACATCTTACATTTGAACTAATCTTCCTAAAATCCACCACTCAAATATTCCAGCATGCAGCCAGCCCAGCTTTGTTCACAAAGCTCCCCGGCCAAACTGAACTAATTCCAACATTAAGCCAAGTTTGTCTGACAGCGAGCTGTTTTCCAGCACCCTCTGGTTCCACTCCTCTGCACGCAGAGAGCGGCTCACAGAAGCATCTTTGTTCAGCGCTATCACAAGGCCGGCTGTGATGGGAGCAGCCGTGGCACAAGCACGATGCATCCCCGCATCATGGGAGCGGTGTGACATCCCAGCACAGTCCCTGTACACCCACAAGCCTTCAACCACCACGGGTGCCCCTACTTTCTGAAGCAAAGATGTTACCACTGCCATTAAAGCGTAAGGGAAAGCCAATGCCTCTTGTCAGACACGCTCATCCCACTTCAGGCTTTTATGCAGTCACAGTCAAGCAGGATTACAGCGATGCCATTCTTGAATTATCTCAAAACATTTCTTCACTACCACCACTCCCTGAGCTGAGATTACGTAGCTGCTGCTTCAAGTGATGGCGTCATGCAGCTCTCAGTCACATTACCCCACATCACCTCACTTTCCTATCCTTTGCATGACACAAAAGTAACCAGTAACCTGTTAGAGCTATTTGCAAGTCAATCAGTAAAATGAGATAGACTAAGATTTCCCCAGAAACCTGAACACATCCATCACAGACAACCCCACCCTTGGCCCAGGCTTCAAGCAGTAGTGTGAGCAGATGAAATGCGGGGCCAGCCAAGATGGGACACGATGGATGGAGCAGGTGGGGATCAGATTTCCTCTGCTCCTACTCTGTGGAGGCCCCAAATCGGAAAAGCACTGCTGATCTGCAGTGCTAACATTTGGGTTGATGATTGGCACAGGAGGTATCAAGGCTTGGCAGCTAATTATGTTTGGGCTGGCAGAAATTCCAGTGAGCCACAATGCTTTGTAACAGCAGGTGTTGCATCACATACCAAGAACAGTTCTCCTTGCTCAGTTTAGAGATTGCAGTAAAGTCAGTAAAG